CCTGACCCCCTCCTCAATGCCCGAGGGGCCCCTCCCACCAGCAGTGGAGCCACTTCCTCCAGGAACCAGCTGGGCTTCGTACTCTGGGGGTTGGGACACCCAGCCAACCTCTCCCTCTGGCGGCCCCACAAACTGCCTCCCTTTGGGAGCAGAGGTCCCAGAGTCCTTGCGCTTGGGGATGAACACGAAAGAGTTTCGAGAGTTCACACGGAGGCTGGCCAGGGCCCGGGCCTGGAGGTCCCCAGCAGGGATCGTGTCCATGTCTGGCCTGGAGGCCGGCCGTATCTCGAAGGAGTCGTTGGCGCTGGTGGCCGCGGAGACCCACTGGCGCTGGCTGGCAGTGGCACTGACGGGGCTGGACGTGGACAAAGCCAGGGTCGCGGCTGGTGTGGCACTAGGGGTCCCAGGGCTGGAGGGAGGGTGGGCGGGGGGTTCCCCCAACTCCACCTTTGGCTTCCGCTCCCCCAGCCCAGGCGCAGAGCCCGCGAGGTCGTTGGCAGCGTCAGCCTGGGGCTCGGGAACCGAGGGCCCGTTGGGGAGCGGAGAGGAGCCCACTTCGCGGCGCAGGCCCCGGGGGTGGACGGTGAAGGAGTTGCTGCCGGTCTTCTGCAGGAAGTCGCTGCGCCGGGCCCCGGAGACCGCGCCGGGGCGCTCGGGCTCCAGGCGGCCGACTCGGTCGCTCACGCGCGGGGCGGCCGGCGGCGGCGGCGGCGGCGGCGGCGGCGGGGGGCGGCCGCGCTCCGGACTCCCGCGGCGGCGCGGCGCAGTCGGCGCGTCGAACTTCTGGAGCAGGCGGCTGACGCGGCCGGGCGGCGGCTGCGCCTCGTACACCAGCACCTCGGCGGCGCGGATACGGGCGGCCGGTCCAGGGCCGGGACCGGCGGGCGGGAAGCCGGGCGCCGACTCGATGATGAGAATGTTGTCAGCGCGGATGGTGCGCACGCCCGGCACGCGGCGGTACAGCTCCAGCAGCTGCTGCACTGGCCGCGCCCCGGCCGGCCCCGCGCCCCCGCCGCGCCGCGCCCCGCGTCGCCGCTCCGACTCGAGCCGCATGAACGGGTTGTCGCGCAGCGGGCCCAGGCTCTCGGCCAGCACGAGCCGCTCGTCCGCCGGCCCCGCGGGCTCCGCCGCGCCAGCCCCAGTACCGGCGTCGGCGCCCGGCGCTGCTCCCCCGCCCAGGGCAGCCAGCTTGGCCCGCTTCCGCTCCAGGATCTCCCGTTTCCAGGCGGGGAGCGCCGTGCGGGGTCCGGGGCCCGGCCGCCCCAGACCGGCCATGCTGCCGAGCGGCCGCCGCAGCCAGCGCGCGCTGGGGACTGCCGCCGCCGCCCGCCGCGGGCCTCCGCGCCGCCACGCCCCCTGGCCGCCGCTCATTGGGGGAGTCCGGCTCCGGCCCGCCCCGCGCCCGGCGGCTCCACCTATGGCGGCGGAGGCCGGTCGGCCGTGCCGATTGGACAACGCTCCCCGGGCCCGCCTTCCCGAGATCCCCGTTGGGCAGCGCCAGTAGCCGGAGTCGGGCCCTGGGGAGGCGGAGGACACGCCCCGACTCTGCGCGCCGCTCATAGGCCGCCCCCACTTCCGGCTCTGCGCCAGCGGCGCGGCGCGCCCGCTGGGGTGGGCGTGGATCTCCCGGCAGCCGGAGCTGGACCCCAGGGCTCGGTGTCGCGGTGACCTTGGCCGGGCGTGGTCCTCGCTCATGACGCCAGCGCCCCGAGTGCGGTGGAGGCTGGGCCTACCCGGAAGGCTAACTCTGCTTTGGTGGGCGGTGGCCGGGCCTGCTGCCTCCTAGTCCAGGTCCCTCACGGTTCAGGGGCTGCTCACCTGCGATCCGCGGTCCCCTGCGGGACTTGGTGTACATGCCAGTGCTTAGAGCCCACCCAGTGCTGAGGAACCACTTTTGCCGGCCTCAAAAGCGACGGTTGCTCATACAAGCAGAGAAGCCCTGCACCACATTTTGCCATGAAGAGCGCACAGGGGCCGGAATAGGCGTGTGGAGGCTGTGGCCTGTACAAAGGGGATTTACTCCCTGCTGACAAGCAGGCCCACATCTCTCCCACGCAGAAAGCCACTTGCTGCTCCTCCATCTGTTTAACTTCCCCCATGCCAAAGCTGATAGGGATGCCACTGACCCTGAGGGCACAGCTCCCTGCCCTTGTGCAGTGGGAAGATTAATTCCTGCTGAGGGCTGTCCAGCACCCACCATATTCAGGGTCACTGGAGCTAACGGGAGAAGGGGAAATTGGCGGCACTGACAAACATCTTTCCGTCACCTACACTGCAGGCAACAGTTGTTCAACAATGACACTACCACCTCCCACACTAACCTTACAGGGACAGGGCTCCAGGGTCACCCCGGGCTCTGCAAAGACAAGGCAGGTAGACCAATGGAACAGACTAGAGAGCCCAATATAATCCCAAGTATATATGATCAATTAATATACGATAAAGGAGCCATGGACATACAATGGGGAAATGACAGCCTCTTCAACAGCTGGTGTTGGCAAAACTGGACAGCTACATGTAAGAGAATGAAACTGGATTATTGTCTAACCCCATACACAAAAGTAAACTCGAAATGGACCAAAGTCCTAAACCTAAGTCATGAGACCATAAAACTCTTAGAAGACAACATAGGCAAAAATCTCCTGAATATAAACATGAGCAACTTTTTCCTGAACGCATCTCCTGGGGCAAGGAAACAAAATAAAAAATGAACAAATGGGACACATCAAGCTAAAAAGCTTCTGTACAGCAAAGGACACCATCAGGAGAACAAAAAGGCATCCTATAGTATGGGAGAATATACTTGTAAGTGACATATCCGACAAGGGGTTAACATCCAAAATATATAAAGAACTCACATGCCTCAACACCCAAAAAGCAAAAAACCCGATTAAAAAATAGGCAGAGGATCTGAACAGACACTTCTCCCAAAGAAGAAATTCAGATGACCAACAGGCACATGAAAAGATGCTCCTCATCGCTAATTATCAGGGAAATGCAAATGAAATCCACAATTAGGTATCACCTCACACCAGTTAGGACGGCCAGCATAGAAAAGACTAAGAACAACAAATGCTGGCAAGGTTGTGGAGAAAGGGGATCCCTCCTACACTGCTGGTGGGGATGTCAGCTAGTTCAACCATTGTGGAAAGCAGTATGGAGGTTCCTCAGAATGCTCAAAATAGAAATACCATTTGACCCCGGAACTCCACTCCTAGGAATTTACCCAAAGAAAACAACTTCTCAGATTCAAAAAGACATATGCACCCCTGTTTACTGCAGCACTACTTACAATAGCCAAGATATGGAAGCAACCTAAGTGTCCATCAGTAGATGAATGGATAAAGAGGAGGAGGTGGTACATATACACAATGGAGTACTATTCAGCCATAAGAAAGAAACAAATCCTACGATTTGAACAACATGGATGGAGCTAGAGGGTATTGTGCTCAATGAAATAAGCCAGGCAGAGAAAGACAAATGCCAAATGATTTCCCTCATTTGTGGAATACAACAATGAAGCAAAACTGAAGGAAGAAAATGGCAGCAGATTCACAGATTCCAAGGGGGGATTAGTGGTTACAAAAGGGGAGGGGTGGGGGAGGACAGGTTGGGGAGGGAGGGCGAAGGGGATTGTGGGGTATCATAATTGGTGCACATGGTGTGTGTGGGGATCCCAGGGAAGTCAGTGTAGCTCAGAGAAGACAAATAGGGACACTGTGGCATCTTTCTACACTGATGGACAGTGACTGCAATGAGGTATGGGGGGGACTCAATAATAAGGGTGAATGTAATAACCACATTATTTTTCTTGTGAAACCTTTATAAGAGTATATATCAATGATACCTTAATAAAAAAAAAAAAGACACAGCAGATGTCAGTCTGGGATACTCTTCTCAGCTTCTGGGCTCCATGGCAGTCTGCGGCTACCACTTAACACTGCCGGGCTCTGCCCACTCTATTAAGCTGGAGAAAAGAAACTGATCTCAGCCTTCCACAAGTCAAGTATCTCCACACTCAGTACTCCTCCTTAAATCACCTTTCTAGTGGAAGCTAAGCCTTGTTATGCTCATCACTTCCAGACCAACAGGATTACCAATTCTGAACTATGGGAATAAAACAGGGGAACAACAAAACATGCAAACTAAACATAATAGTAAAAGAAAACCCATTCCCAAAGTTCAGTTTGTATCTCGCTTGGACACAAGCTATGCCAATCCTGGGAAGGAGATATTTTGTAGCTGTGGGACAAACCAGACCAGTTTCCAGCTCCATCTCAATGGTTCAGGCGGCACAGCATCCATCCTGGGCAGAAGGTCACAAAGGTGCTTTGCTTTAACTAGGGTCCACAAACCTGTTCTGTAAAGGACCAGACAGTAAATACTTTAGCCCAGCAGTTCTCCCCAGGTACAGTTTTGCCCCCCAAGAGACTTGGCAACATGTAGAGACCTTATGATAGTCACACTGCTGACATGTAGTGAGTAGAAGCCAGGGATGCTGCCAGATGCCCTACAGTGCACAGGACGGCCCCCCCACCACAAGAATGATAGACCCAAAGGCCACTGTACACTACAGACCACATACACTTTTGGTCACACCACACCTTCTTTGTTTTTACAACTCTTTGAAAAAGTAAAAATCATTCTTAGTTGATGGGTGGTACAAAAACATGCCTCAGTGCATAGTCTGCTGACCCGACTCTACAAAGTACCAGCAAGGCCCACAACCCCACAATCCCGCTGCCCCGCCCGGCAGGACACCGAGGCTCTGATGTCATGCACACTACACGGTAGGTCCTCAACATGGGCCTACCTCCAGCTGTCTTCACTGCAGCTTCCCAGGCAGGCAACCGGTATTCTCTGGGGGAGCACCCATCTACCCTGAAGCTCTAGCCTCGTTCCAGCCCCTAGAAACTCAGCCCGCAATCATCTATGCAGTACAGCAGTGAGCATCTCAGCATTCATCTTTCTTCACCCTTGAAGGTCAGGCAACAACTGTGTTCATCAGCAAAACATTCTTATTTTATTTTTATCTCAGCAAATGTTCTCATTGGCACCTGACTGGCACCAAAACAAAGACCTCAGGCTCACAAACAAAGGCCAAGACCATTTGCAAACTTCCCATTTGTCTGTTGGTCTCAATGCCTATGAGCACCTCTTTCTCTTTGTGGTCCCTTAGGGAGGCCTAAACCCATCTCAGGTGCGCTAACAGTGCCAGCCACAAGGTGGTGGAAAAGTCGTGACACTGCCATAGGCTAGGATAGGAAGCCAAGCAGAGCTTTGTAAATTGTAAGCAAAGCTCTTTTCTCAGGCAACAGATCTCCAGACAGGGTCTCAGTCATGCTTATCCAACATACTCCTGTCTGCCTGGGATGGAATGAAGAAAGGGCCATCCTTCCCAGTGGCACAGGGAAGGAGACAAAAGCTGGTTTACACTTTTTAGAGCTCAAGCAACTAAGAAAGTCTTGTCTGGATGGACAGGACAGTGAGCTCTTAGGCCAGCGCTGCTTGTCAGAGGAAATCCTCAAGTCCAGTTTTGCAGCCTTTGCACAGAGGGTACTTTCCCAGGATCCATGAAAATACTCAGAGCGCACTGGGGCATTTTACTTATATGCAGTTTCCAACTGTCAGAGGAGTTCAGAACTGCCTGGCCTGGGGCCCTCCACAGGATCTCAACTCAGGATTCCATATTCAAAGCATGAAATAACAAGCAACACATTTTAAGGATCTATCTTGCTCTTTTTAGACTTGCTGAGGCAACAATTTTAGACAGGACTGGTTTAGAGAAACCTGCGCACTCAGCAAGGCACGAGCCGGCATTGCTTTCAGACCCAGACTTCTCTGACACGGCGGAAGTAGGACCTCGGCTTTGGATCTTGCATTTGAGCCACCCGGAGCTCCCCGAGAGGCTAGTTGACCCGGCAGGCGCGGATCATGAGCAGCTGCAGGAGGATGAAGACCGGAGATGTGATCAGGCCGAACCAGAGCTCCCTAGTCTGCTCCACCAACTTCTGGCACAACAACATCTCGAAAACGAACTTGAGGCTGAGAACCGTGAAGACCCAGAAGAGGCGGAGCACGGCCAGCCGCTTCTCTCCATCCTGGAAGAGGCGCACGGACACGATGGTGGTGAAGTAGGTGCTGAGCCCGTCAGCGGCGAAGAAGGGCACGAACACGTTCCACCAGGAGAGGCCCGGAGCCAGGCCGTCCACACGCAATGCCAGCAGCACGGAGAACACCAACAGGGCCAGGAGGTGCACGAAGATTTCGAAGGTGGCGAAGCCCAGCCACTGCACCAGCTCCCGGAGCGAGAAGAGCATCGCGCCGGTTGAGCGCGGGCCGGGTCCCGGCCGAGCGTGCCACCCGCGGGGCCGTGCCGTTTCTCCCCGCAGGCCTCGCCGACGCCTGCCGCCGTCGCCGTCGCGGCGAGCGAGCGGCAGAGAGCGGCCCCGCCTGCCCCGGCCCTCGGCCTCGGCGCGCCACCGACCCCCCGGTCCCGGCCCTGGACCCAACACTGACCGCCACCGGACGCCCGCCCCGCTCGGACGCCATGCCCCTCCGGGCGCGGCCCAATTGCGTCACTTCCGGAAGAGGCCGGAAGTCGGAAGTCGAGCCGGTCCGGCCGTCGGGGCTTACGGGAGCTGCTGGCTGGCCCCGCAGCTGCGTGCGGTGGTACCCAGGGCGCGCCGCGATGCCGAGCCCGCGGCTTTTGGTGCTCTTTGGCAGCCAGACCGGCACGGCCCAGGATGTGTCGGAGAGGCTGGGCCGCGAGGCCCGGCGCCGGCGTCTTGAGTGCCGGGTGCAGGCCCTGGATTCCTACCCTGTGGTGAGGGCTCCCCAGGGCTCCGGCGGGGAGCCGAGCAGGCCTGGGGCGCCGGCCGCCAGAGCCCTGTACCCCAGAGCGCTGAGTTTTGTCTGAGAGTGGACCCTTCCGTTACGGCGGATGTACGGGACGGGAAAGCTTGGAAACAGCGGCTCAGCTGGGCAAATGGAGGAGGGGGCAAGGTGGGAGGGTGGAGCCTGTGAAAGGGGGGGCAGGCCGGCCGCCTGCCACCCTGAGTGAACGAGAGGAGGCCAGGCTGCGGAGAGGATGCCTGGTCGTTACAGCCAGAGGTCTTACACGTGTGTCTTTCTGTTGAGGTGAATCTGATTAATGAGCCCCTGGTGATATTTGTTTGTGCAACTACAGGCCAAGGAGACCCCCCTGACAACATGAAGGTAAGGATGACCTGAAGGAGCTTTCTTTGCTCAGGAGCTCAGATCCCTGCCCTGCACCCTCACCCCATTTTCATTGTCTGGAGAGTCCAATAAGTGCAATAAGTAGTTGTCCTCCTGTATCTGCTGCACCTTAGCTGTGGATTTGGGAGGTTATCTTTGGATGCATCTGAGGGCCCTGGTTGTCCTCCTTAATAAACTTTTCCCAGGCCACCAAGTAGCCTTGTTTTCCATTTTAACCTTGCATATTTTCTAGGGCTGTATATAAATCTAGTGTGGGTCTTGTGTGTATTTTAAAACTGTTTGACCTTCAGAGAACATTCTTCAATTCTTTCACCATCTTTTGAGCACCCATCCTACTTCCAAGCATAATCTAGTACTGAGAAGCCAGCTGCGAACCCAGTAGCCACATGTCGACCCTCACAGAGCTCTCCATGTGCTATAAACAACAAGTTCAACGGGAAGTTACAGTGCCAGATGTTACAGAAGCATGAATAAAAGAGTTCTCTGCCTGAACCTGGGGGCTCAGGGAGAGCTCTCAGGAGAAAAGAGCGTGGACTAAGTCCTCAGGGATAAGTGGGGGCTGGCAAGGCACCAAGAAAGAGGGAGCAGCCTGTGCAGAGAAGAAAAAGAGCTCCACCTCTGGGAAGAACAGAGAACAGTTCAGGATGGCAGAGCCAAGGAGTGTTTCAGATTGGGAAGCGAGGCAGGAGCCCAGGCCCAGTCCCAGAGAGCCGAGCAGCCACAGTAGGCAGGTAGACTTGGAGTGAGGGACCCTGGGGATACGGGACATGGCAACACCCATATTCTGGCAAAACTGGCACTTGTCTGCAGGGGGACAAGCTGTAGGGGAATAAGAACAACCCTGGGAGAGGCATAGTACAGGCAAGAGACTGGCAACCTGAGGCAGGGTAGTGGCAGAGAGTGGAGAAAGGAGAGTCTGTTACAGAGATGTTAAGAAGTAAAATCAGTAGGACACGGGATCAGGTGGATCTCAAATACAGGAAGGCAGGTGAAATCGAGACAGGAGAGATGGGGAGTGCAAGGTGCTGGAAGGTTGATGTGCTCAAAGAAGGATCTGGGTAGATGTTGGAGTGGCCAAAATTGGAAGGTGTGAGAAAGGAAGCCTCTCCTTCCAGGACAGGCCACCCTGAACACTAAGGGCATGGTAGGTGGAAAGAAACCTGTGGGGGTGGGGGGGCAGGAACATGGCTCCAGGAGCAAGAAGAGGGAGTGCACAGTCTCCAAGGTCAAGGTCAGGGAGGTGACTGTTCAAGAGGAAGGTCTCCTGCAGAGCCCCAAGATGTGAAGTAATGTCAGGCCTGAGAGGCATCAGTGGGGTTTGTTTTAGGGACTTTCATCAGTGGGGTTTGTGTTTAGGGTGACCTCGGGGAGGGCAATTTCAGGAGCCCACTGGGAGAAAGGGATCACAGGGTCATGAGAATCAGCGAGTGAGTGTGAGTGAGTGGAGAGAATGTTTAAGAGCATCTGTACATTATAAACAATTCAGAAAAGATTCTGGCTGTGAATGGGGTAAGGGGTTAAAAAGAAGTTATTTAAGGTGGGAGAAACTCGGGCCTATTCCCATGCTGGTGGGGAAAAAGGCTGAAGCCTAAAGGGCAGGATGATGTGGGGGACCCAGGGAGCAGCACCCCAGCACAGGTTGGGGGGGTATCTCCTTGGATAGGAAGGGGGATGGGAGAGAAAATGAGTCCAAGGGCGTCAAAGGCAGGAGATGAGTGGTGGATGCCGAATACACAGGGCGTGTGGGGCGGTGGGGGACAGAGAGTTCTATCAGTGCAGCTGGGCTGGGAGGTCAGGACAGGGGTGCAGACTCAAAGTCAGAAGCCAGTGGCATGAAGGGATGAAGGTGAATAAGAGTGCAGAGAGGGATACCCACCATGGAGACAGGGGTCCTTTCCCGGCACAGCAGGGACTGGAGGCTTCTTTGAGAGGCCGCAGACTGGGGTCATGGAGGCTGGGCAGAGCTCAGTGACCAGCTGGATACCAAACAGGAAGATGCTGGCCTCGTGGCAGTCCTTTGAGAACACCCATCAGACACATCTGAGGCAGTGGACAGGAGGAGCGCTCGTGGAAGCCAAGCGACCCCAGTAGAAGGCCTGGCAGCTGGGCCCCTGCCCCATCTCCTGGCTATGAAACCTGTCAAGTGGCAGGCCTGAACTCACAGTTTTCTGCCAGCTGCTTAAGCACAAGTAGACCACAAAACAGCCCCGACCTTGGGAAGACCCCAGTGGGGGAGACCAAGGGAAACACGAGGAGCTGGGGGAGCAGAGACAGAGCAGCCCCAGGGGCTCAGCAGCAGCAGGGCAAGAGCGCGGGCCAGGGCAGAGCTGGAGGCCGCAGCGACACTCTGAGCCGGCCTCAGAGAAAATTTCAAAGACCAGAAGATAGAATCGAGAGATTCCTCCCAAAAAGTGTAACAAAACATGAGACAGGAAACAGAGACCAGAATTCTAAGAGCATTCCAGTAGCCTCAGAAAGAGGGCAAAAAAAAAAAAACAAAACAGGTGGGAGGAAATTAACAAAATGTCTCACAACCGAAGGAGAGGTCCTCAGCCTGAGGTCCTCGGCCTGAGCGTCCACTGTGTATCCGGGAAGGGCCTGCTGTGAATGAAGAGGCTCCGTGGAGGCACGTCCTGTGCTTCAGCTGTTGAGAAGAGCGTGCCCAGGTGGCTGGTAAGGTCCAGAGCGAGGTTAGAGGGACACCAGGCCCCGCTTTGAGCAGTCTCGGGTCCTTAGGGAAGATTTCGGTGTGCCTGCCACTCTGACAATGCGAGAGCGATATCAGGGCATTCGAAGATGAAGCCATGAGAACGGGGTCATCACCGAGCCTTTCCCAGGAAACGACCTGGAGAAATTTCTCTACGGGCTTCAGGAAACAAGTCTTTAAGCACAGGTGTGCAGGGGAGGTCTCAGGGCGGAACGGGTGTGGTCCCCAGCAGTGGCCGGTGCAGCCGAGTCCTTGAGAAGGCCAGGGGTAGTCCAGGGCCAGTGGGAAAAGCTGGCCAGGGCCCTGGAGGTATGAGTCAGAAGGGAGGTGGGGGCACCAGGAGAAGCCACGTAAGCCTGGAAGGGCATGTAATGGGCCAGTGGGTGGCCAGTGACTTGGAGGTGAGGGGGCTGAGGTGTCAGTCCTTAGCCCCCACACAGGGTCAGGCAGAAGCCGTGGAGCTGGGGAGCAGGTGCAACTCAGGGCCCAGGGTAGGAGAGAATTCCGCTGGTGGGGTGAAACTAGGGCCACAGAGGGGCCAGGCCTGACCACTCAGCCCAGAGGCTCAAGCCCATGGCACAGGACTATGAACTGAGGGGCCTTCAGGACATGGTATTTGGTATGATGCAGGAGAAGCCATCCCCAGAGACATCCAAGTAGGAGCAGGCACTGCCTCCAGAGCTGGGGGGTGGGCCAGCAGTGGCCACCTCCTGTGAGGGTCTTCCCCCCACTGTGAGGAGCCATAGAGCCCTCTGCCCAGGGAAGGGGTGGTGCCTGACATAGTGGTGGCTCTGGGGATACTTTCTTGGATGATTTTCTGCCTATTCCATAATTCATGCCATGGTGATAGAGGAAAAAGTCTTGTCGTTTTCATAACAAAGCTCTTAAGGAGAAGGAGAGTGAGGCCCTGGGAAGGTCCGGGACACAGGCCCCCTCCCAACCCCACTCTGGGGCCCTGGGGGGGCCTCCATCTTGGTTTATTCTGGTCGCAGGATTTCTGGAGGTTCATATTCCGGAAGCACCTGCCTTCAGCCTCCCTCTGTCAGGTGGACTTCGCTGTCCTGGGCCTCGGGGACTCCTCTTATGTCAAGTAAGTAGAGGTGGAGGGGCTGTCTTGCAGGGACTGTCCTTTTGGGCCAGTGCAAGTGTCCTGGTGGAGGAACAGGTGACCGAGCTCCCAAGGCCCCTTTCAGAGGTGGGGCCACCGTCCTGGTCATGTGTCCTGGTCCCACGGACGCTCCCCAGTGGGCGCCTCGGCCACAACCCTGGGGCTCAATGGGTGGGCAGGGCGCTGGGGGGGGTGGGGGGTACGCTGGGCTCAGGGGCAAGCCCTAGGGGTTCTCCATGACGGGAGGAGATGTCTGAAGCTGCACATATGGAGTCAGCCATCTGCGGCTGCCCTGAGACAAGACATTCATGCCAACATGTGACTTGGGGCAGCAGAGGCCCACCTGCTCTTTCCCTGCTTTTATCAAAACGTGTATGTGAGATGTTTGGACTTGCAGAGAACAGCACAGCGGGCCTGGGCAGCAGGCGCAGAAGAGCCACCCCAGCCCGCTGCTTCCCAGGGCATGGCAGGGAGCCTCACGTTACCTCCTTAGGATATTTTCACCACGTCAGTGTCCCAAGCAGAACTGTATTGCTTTGCCTCATTTCCCAAGGAAACACTGAAGGGTCTGTGTTCAAGGGTATGCACAGCATCAAGTCACTGAACACTGAAGCCCCTCACTGTGCAGCACGGGCTGGGGGAGGGTTTGTGGGGTATGGACACCCCCAGAACTGGACACTGCAGAAGGAGGCCCTCCATCGCTGAGGTGGAAAGTGCAGAAAGTGGGTGGCAGTGTTCCATTCATATGCTGGGGGATTGTTCTGTGCATAACATAGACATTTGCTCCCGTCTGCACAAGATGGATGGGAGCCCCAACTGCCTACAGCGTCACAGGGAGGAGCTGGCAGTGAGAACAAAACGCCCTGGAAGACACCGACCCTTTGGCACCAGGGGTCCAGGACCAACTGTGCATGGCAGGTCCCCATGCTTCACAGGCTCGTTTGGGCTGGCAAGCTGTGCCCTCTGCCCTGACCAGCTGGCCACTGCCCCTCATCATCGCCAGTCCAGGGCTGGCACCAGTCCAAGCTTCACTCTCTATCCCTGTAGGTTCAATTTCGTGGCCAAGAAGCTACACCGACGGCTGCTGCAGCTTGGGGGCAGCGCCCTCCTGCCTGTGTGCCTCGGTGATGACCAGCATGAGCTAGGGTGAGTGGGCGGGGGGCCTCCTGCAGGGCCCGGTGTAGCAGGCTCCCCTAGACCAGTGTGCACGTGCTCTCTCTCCAGGCCGGATGCCGCCATTGACCCCTGGCTGCGCGACCTGTGGGAGAAGGTGCTGGGGCTGTACCCTGTGCCCCTCGACCTTGGCACAATTCCCCCCGGAGTCCCGTAAGTGTGGGCCTCAGCTCAGCACCCACAGGTGCAGGGGACCCCTTCTGGCTGTGGGAACTCCCTCGGGCCATCCTCCAGGCCGAGGCCTGACCATCACGGCCTCTCCACAGTTTGCCCTCCAGGTTTGCCCTGCAGTTCCTTCCAGAGGCCCCCAGGAAGTGCCCTGAGGAGCAGCAATCAGCTGGGACAGACCCTCAGGGCCCCCCTTCAGAACTGCTGCCCTTCTTGGCACCCATGGTGACCAACCAGAGGATCACTGGCCCCTCTCACTTTCAGGATGTTCGACTCATCGAGTTTGACATCACAGGCTCTGGGATGAGGTGAGGGGCCCGGAACACCTAGCAGGACCTGGCCGTTCGGGATGGGTAGGGGGTCTTGGTCTGGGGTTCAGCAGGTCCTCTCCCAAAGCTGGGGTGCAGGCACTCATGGGGTCCCCCTCCCAAGCCAGCCCTGTCCTTCTTTCCCACACTGCATGCTGGCCTTCCACGCAGCTTTGTAGCTGGTGACGTGGTGCTGATCCAGCCCGAGAACTCGGCCGGCCACGTCCAGCAGTTCTGCCAGGCACTGGGCCTGGACCCAGATCAGTGCTTCACACTGCTGCCGCAGGAGCTAGGTGAGCCGCGGGCACGGGGCCCCAGTGGCCACCCTTGCTCTGCCCTTGCCAGGGTCCCCCACCCCACACCCCGAGCCGCCATGGTCTGCTGCTCCCTGTTGCAGGTGTGACCTGCCCTGAGCGGCTGCCCCAGCCCTGCTCTGTGCAGCACCTCGTGTCCAGGTATTTGGACATCGCCAGGGTGCCCCGCCGCTCCTTCTTTGAGCTCCTGGCCTGTCTCTCCCCCCACGAGCTGGAGCGGGAGAAGCTGCTGGAATTCAGTTCTGCCGAAGGCCAGGAGGCACTGCATGACTACTGCAACCGGCCCCGCAGGACGGTCCTGGAGGTGCGTGTGGGTGGCCTGGCGGGCGGGCAGCAGCCTGGGGCTCTGTGTCCCAGCCACACCTGCCAGTGCCGGCCTTAGTCCTCCCAAGGCTGTCTCTACCCAGGTGCTGTGCGACTTCCCACACACAGCTAGAGCCATCCCTGCAGACTACCTGTTGGACCTCATCCCCCCGATCCGGCCACGGGCCTTCTCCATCGCATCCTCTCTGCTGGTGAGGGCCCGGTGGATGGAACCGGCTGCGGTCAGGGCTCCCGGGGAGGGCAGTGGGGTCTGGCAGGTGGGTAGGGGCTGCCCCATGACCCTCCCTATCTGTCCCACACCCAGGACCGCTTCTGGGTTAAGTGGGTGGGACAGGAAGTCAGGGTGGCAAAGAGGTAGCCCAGGAGGGTAGGGCACCCACTGTCCTGTCCCTCAGGCTCATCCCTCGAGACTGCAGATCCTCGTGGCTGTGGTACAGTACCAGACACGCCTCAAGGAGCCACGCAGGGGCCTCTGCTCCTCCTGGCTGGCATCTCTGGACCCTGGGCAAGGTGAGGTGGGGGAGGGTCTTTGCCCAGGGCCCACACTCCAATATGTACCACGACCAGTCCTGGGCCAGGGCCGGGTCCTCCCAACCTCCTCCTCCTGCCCCCTCCCTCCTGTAATAGGACCTGTCCGGGTGCCCCTGTGGGTACGGCCTGGGGGCCTGACCTTCCCAGAGACACAGGACACACCCGTGATCATGGTGGGACCTGGCACTGGCGTGGCCCCCTTCAGAGCTGCTGTCCAGGAGCGAGTGGCCCAGGGTCAGACCAGTGAGCACATGGGGTCCAGGGCAGGGTGGCGGCCAAGGCTGGCTGGGCTGAGCCTCATGGGCTGAGGCCAAGCTTGAGGCCACCCTGTGTTTGTTTGCCCAGGGAATGTTCTGTTCTTCGGCTGCCGCCAACGGGACCAGGACTTCTACTGGGAGGCTGAGTGGAAGGAGCTGGAGGAGAGGGGCTGCCTGACTCTCCTCACGGCCTTCTCCCGGGAGCAGGTGGGCTGAGCGGGCAGGAGGGAGGTGGCAGGCGTGGGGCAGGCCTTCTCCTGGGAGCAGGTGGGCTGAGCGGGCAGGAGGGGAGGTGGCAGGCGTGGGGCACGGCCTCACGCCTGCCACCCCTGCCCTGCAGGAGCAGAAGGTGTATGTGCAGCACCGGCTCCAGGAGCTTGGGCCACTGGTGTGGGAGCTGCTGGACCGCCAGGGTGCCCACTTCTACCTGGCAGGGTGAGCCTGGGCAGGGGTTGGGGCAGGAACCACCCTCTGGGGCCCAGCCCCACTGAGCCCCCTGTGACCTGTCCCTCTAGCAATGCCCAGCGCATGCCAGCAGATGTGTCAGACGCTCTGGTGTCCATCTTCCAGGAGGAGGGTGGGCTTTCCAGCTCTGATGCAGCCGCCCTCCTTGCCCGGCTCCAGCAGGCTCTGCGTTTCCAGACTGAGACGTGGGCCTGAGGACCCGTCCTGCCAGCCGGTCACTCTGACCACTGCCCTCCAAGGGGCCGATGCCCCTTCCTCCCCTCCCTGTCTCACCCCAGGCAGGAGGATGGCCAGCTGCCCTGCAGAGCTGCATTCCAGTTGCAGCAGCCCACGCTCAGTGCTGACGATGCCCATCCACCACCCCACCCCACCCACAACCAGGCTTCCGCTTCTGCTGGCCTTTCCCTGCTGGCCCTGACTTGGGTCTTAGTCAGGGTGGTGACCTGGGCTGCCCCACCCTGTGCAGGCACGGTGACCCAGGAAGGCACTGGCAGCCTGATGGGATTCAGCGGCCCTCAGCGGCCCCTAGAGTTTCCAAACAGTTTAAACACTTGGGTAGACGGGGCCTGGTAGCTCTTCAAGGTGGTGCAGAGCCCCTGGGAGGGCCAAATGCCTGTTTCTCTGCCCTGGGGGATGTCAGGTGCACAGTCACCCTCTGCCACATCTCTGTGCCATGCTTCTAGTGCCCGCTGGCATCTTAGGGCACCACCGGGCCCAGGCCAGGGCTAAAATGCAGCGAGGACCCTGCAGAGCAGGAGACCCAGCCTCACACACCTTTCTCACATGTGTCCAGGAAGCCTTAGCAATAAATTACGGGGCCTAGGTGGCTGCTTTGCCTGCTCGTCCTCGTGCCTCTGGTGGGAAGTGGGCCCGTTGCTGGTCTGAGTGGTGGTGGTGCCCATAGTGGGCACATGTGCCCTGCCAGCTTTGCTGCAACACTCGTGTCCGACTCGAACGTGGTGGGTGCCAGCTGTTTGTCCACCTCGTTCAGCCAGCGTGGGGGCAGCTTGGAGAGGGACCTGGAAAGGAAGGGTGTGGGGAGGTGTGGGCAGGCTGGTATGGACCATCCCCCTTCCCAGCCCCTGGAGCTGCCGCCCGCACGGGACTGGAGGGAGGAGGCGTGGCCCGGGAGGGGACGAGAGGGAGGGGCAGGTGGCGCCCCGCCCCTAGGAGGGGCCTTCAGCGCCCAGGGGAGTTGGAGTTGAAATCAGAAAGGCTGCCCTTCCCGCACCACTGCCGCCCGGAGTCTGCAGTCCGTCTACGGGTCAGACGTTGACCGCCGTCCGCTGTGGCTTGGGCGGGCCAGGGTAGGGGGGACTGGCAAGTGTGGGCCCAGGAGCCACCTGGAATTAGCACGGGTGTTGGAGCCCAAGCAAAGTTTAATTTTCGTGAGGACGGAGCTGGGAGGAGGCTACAGCTGCTGCCAGGTCAGTGCCCAACCCGATCCNGGGTGCAGACTCAAAGTCAGAAGCCAGTGGCATGAAGGGATGAAGGTGAATAAGAGTGCAGAGAGGGATACCCACCATGGAGACAGGGGTCCTTTCCCGGCACAGCAGGGACTGGAGGCTTCTTTGAGAGGCCGCAGACTGGGGTCATGGAGGCTGGGCAGAGCTCAGTGACCAGCTGGATACCAAACAGGAAGATGCTGGCCTCGTGGCAGTCCTTTGAGAACACCCATCAGACACATCTGAGGCAGTGGACAGGAGGAGCGCTCGTGGAAGCCAAGCGACCCCAGTTGAAGGCCTGGCAGCTGGGCCCCTGCCCCATCTCCTGGCTATGAAACCTGTCAAGTGGCAGGCCTGAACTCACAGTTTTCTGCCAGCTGCTTAAGCACAAGTAGACCACAAAACAGCCCCGACCTTGGGAAGACCCCAGTGGGGGAGACCAAGGGAAACACGAGGAGCTGGGGGAGCAGAGACAGAGCAGCCCCAGGGGCTCAGCAGCAGCAGGGCAAGAGCGCGGGCCAGGGCAGAGCTGGAGGCCGCAGCGACACTCTGAGCCGGCCTCAGAGAAAATTTCAAAGACCAGAAGATAGAATCGAGAGATTCCTCCCAAAAAGTGTAACAAAACATGAGACAGGAAACAGAGACCAGAATTCTAAGAGCATTCCAGTAGCCTCAGAAAGAGGGCAAAAAAAAAAAAACAAAACAGGTGGGAGGAAATTAACAAAATGTCTCACAACCGAAGGAGAGGTCCTCAGCCTGAGGTCCTCGGCCTGAGCGTCCACTGTGTATCCGGGAAGGGCCTGCTGTGAATGAAGAGGCTCCGTGGAGGCACGTCCTGTGCTTCAGCTGTTGAGAAGAGCGTGCCCAGGTGGCTGGTAAGGTCCAGAGCGAGGTTAGAGGGACACCAGGCCCCGCTTTGAGCAGTCTCGGGTCCTTAGGGAAGATTTCGGTGTGCCTGCCACTCTGACAATGCGAGAGCGATATCAGGGCATTCGAAGATGAAGCCATGAGAACGGGGTCATCACCGAGCCTTTCCCAGGAAACGACCTGGAGAAATTTCTCTACGGGCTTCAGGAAACAAGTCTTTAAGCACAGGTGTGCAGGGGAGGTCTCAGGGCGGAACGGGTGTGGTCCCCAGCAGTGGCCGGTGCAGCCGAGTCCTTGAGAAGGCCAGGGGTAGTCCAGGGCCAGTGGGAAAAGCTGGCCAGGGCCCTGGAGGTATGAGTCAGAAGGGAGGTGGGGGCACCAGGAGAAGCCACGTAAGCCTGGAAGGGCATGTAATGGGCCAGTGGGTGGCCAGTGACTTGGAGGTGAGGGGGCTGAGGTGTCAGTCCTTAGCCCCCACACAGGGTCAGGCAGAAGCCGTGGAGCTGGGGAGCAGGTGCAACTCAGGGCCCAGGGTAGGAGAGAATTCCGCTGGTGGGGTGAAACTAGGGCCACAGAGGGGCCAGGCCTGACCACTCAGCCCAGAGGCTCAAGCCCATGGCACAGGACTATGAACTGAGGGGCCTTCAGGACATGGTATTTGGTATGATGCAGGAGAAGCCATCCCCAGAGACATCCAAGTAGGAGCAGGCACTGCCTCCAGAGCTGGGGGGTGGGCCAGCAGTGGCCACCTCCTGTGAGGGTCTTCCCCCCACTGTGAGGAGCCATAGAGCCCTCTGCCCAGGGAAGGGGTGGTGCCTGACATAGTGGTGGCTCTGGGGATACTTTCTTGGATGATTTTCTGCCTATTCCATAATTCATGCCATGGTGATAGAGGAAAAAGTCTTGTCGTTTTCATAACAAAGCTCTTAAGGAGAAGGAGAGTGAGGCCCTGGGAAGGTCCGGGACACAGGCCCCCTCCCAACCCCACTCTGGGGCCCTGGGGGGGCCTCCATCTTGGTTTATTCTGGTCGCAGGATTTCTGGAGGTTCATATTCCGGAAGCACCTGCCTTCAGCCTCCCTCTGTCAGGTGGACTTCGCTGTCCTGGGCCTCGGGGACTCCTCTTATGTCAAGTAAGTAGAGGTGGAGGGGCTGTCTTGCAGGGACTGTCCTTTTGGGCCAGTGCAAGTGTCCTGGTGGAGGAACAGGTGACCGAGCTCCCAAGGCCCCTTTCAGAGGTGGGGCCACCGTCCTGGTCATGTGTCCTGGTCCCACGGACGCTCCCCAGTGGGCGCCTCGGCCACAACCCTGGGGCTCAATGGGTGGGCAGGGCGCTGGGGGGGGTGGGGGGTACGCTGGGCTCAGGGGCAAGCCCTAGGGGTTCTCCATGACGGGAGGAGATGTCTGAAGCTGCACATATGGAGTCAGCCATCTGCGGCTGCCCTGAGACAAGACATTCATGCCAACATGTGACTTGGGGCAGCAGAGGCCCACCTGCTCTTTCCCTGCTTTTATCAAAACGTGTATGTGAGATGTTTGGACTTGCAGAGAACAGCACAGCGGGCCTGGGCAGCAGGCGCAGAAGAGCCACCCCAGCCCGCTGCTTCCCAGGGCATGGCAGGGAGCCTCACGTTACCTCCTTAGGATATTTTCACCACGTCAGTGTCCCAAGCAGAACTGTATTGCTTTGCCTCATTTCCCAAGGAAACACTGAAGGGTCTGTGTTCAAGGGTATGCACAGCATCAAGTCACTGAACACTGAAGCCCCTCACTGTGCAGCACGGGCTGGGGGAGGGTTTGTGGGGTATGGACACCCCCAGAACTGGACACTGCAGAAGGAGGCCCTCCATCGCTGAGGTGGAAAGTGCAGAAAGTGGGTGGCAGTGTTCCATTCATATGCTGGGGGATTGTTCTGTGCATAACATAGGCATTTGCTCCCGTCTGCACAAGATGGATGGGAGCCCCAACTGCCTACAGCGTCACAGGGAGGAGCTGGCAGTGAGAACAAAACGCCCTGGAAGACACCGACCCTTTGGCACCAGGGGTCCAGGACCAACTGTGCATGGCAGGTCCCCATGCTTCACAGGCTCGTTTGGGCTGGCAAGCTGTGCCCTCTGCCCTGACCAGCTGGCCACTGCCCCTCATCATCGCCAGTCCAGGGCTGGCACCAGTCCAAGCTTCACTCTCTATCCCTGTAGGTTCAATTTCGTGGCCAAGAAGCTACACCGACGGCTGCTGCAGCTTGGGGGCAGCGCCCTCCTGCCTGTGTGCCTCGGTGATGACCAGCATGAGCTAGGGTGAGTGGGCGGGGGGCCTCCTGCAGGGCCCGGTGTAGCAGGCTCCCCTAGACCAGTGTGCACGTGCTCTCTCTCCAGGCCGGATGCCGCCATTGACCCCTGGCTGCGTGACCTGTGGGAGAAGGTGCTGGGGCTGTACCCTGTGCCCCTCGACCTTGGCACAATTCCCCCCGGAGTCCCGTAAGTGTGGGCCTCAGCTCAGCACCCACAGGTGCAGGGGACCCCTTCTGGCTGTGGGAACTCCCTCGGGCCATCCTCCAGGCCGAGGCCTGACCATCACGGCCTCTCCACAGTTTGCCCTCCAGGTTTGCCCTGCAGTTCCTTCCAGAGGCCCCCAGGAAGTGCCCTGAGGAGCAGCAATCAGCTGGGACAGACCCTCAGGGCCCCCCTTCAGAACTGCTGCCCTTCTTGGCACCCATGGTGACCAACCAGAGGATCACTGGCCCCTCTCACTTTCAGGATGTTCGACTCATCGAGTTTGACATCACAGGCTCTGGGATGAGGTGAGGGGCCCGGAACACCTAGCAGGACCTGGCCGTTCGGGATGGGTAGGGGGTCTTGGTCTGGGGTTCAGCAGGTCCTCTCCCAAAGCTGGGGTGCAGGCACTCATGGGGTCCCCCTCCCAAGCCAGCCCTGTCCTTCTTTCCCACACTGCATGCTGGCCTTCCACGCAGCTTTGTAGCTGGTGACGTGGTGCTGATCCAGCCCGAGAACTCGGCCGGCCACGTCCAGCAGTTCTGCCAGGCACTGGGCCTGGACCCAGATCAGTGCTTCACACTGCTGCCGCAGGAGCTAGGTGAGCCGCGGGCACGGGGCCCCAGTGGCCACCCTTGCTCTGCCCTTGCCAGGGTCCCCCACCCCACACCCCGAGCCGCCATGGTCTGCTGCTCCCTGTTGCAGGTGTGACCTGCCCTGAGCGGCTGCCCCAGCCCTGCTCTGTGCAGCACCTCGTGTCCAGGTATTTGGACATCGCCAGGGTGCCCCGCCGCTCCTTCTTTGAGCTCCTGGCCTGTCTCTCCCCCCACGAGCTGGAGCGGGAGAAGCTGCTGGAATTCAGTTCTGCCGAAGGCCAGGAGGCACTGCATGACTACTGCAACCGGCCCCGCAGGACGGTCCTGGAGGTGCGTGTGGGTGGCCTGGCGGGCGGGCAGCAGCCTGGGGCTCTGTGTCCCAGCCACACCTGCCAGTGCCGGCCTTAGTCCTCCCAAGGCTGTCTCTACCCAGGTGCTGTGCGACTTCCCACACACAGCTAGAGCCATCCCTGCAGACTACCTGTTGGACCTCATCCCCCCGATCCGGCCACGGGCCTTCTCCATCGCATCCTCTCTGCTGGTGAGGGCCCGGTGGATGGAACCGGCTGCGGTCAGGGCTCCCGGGGAGGGCAGTGGGGTCTGGCAGGTGGGTAGGGGCTGCCCCATGACCCTCCCTATCTGTCCCACACCCAGGACCGCTTCTGGGTTAAGTGGGTGGGACAGGAAGTCAGGGTGGCAAAGAGGTAGCCCAGGAGGGTAGGGCACCCACTGTCCTGTCCCTCAGGCTCATCCCTCGAGACTGCAGATCCTCGTGGCTGTGGTACAGTACCAGACACGCCTCAAGGAGCCACGCAGGGGCCTCTGCTCCTCCTGGCTGGCATCTCTGGACCCTGGGCAAGGTGAGGTGGGGGAGGGTCTTTGCCCAGGGCCCACACTCCAATATGTACCACGACCAGTCCTGGGCCAGGGCCGGGTCCTCCCAACCTCCTCCTCCTGCCCCCTCCCTCCTGTAATAGGACCTGTCCGGGTGCCCCTGTGGGTACGGCCTGGGGGCCTGACCTTCCCAGAGACACAGGACACACCCGTGATCATGGTGGGACCTGGCACTGGCGTGGCCCCCTTCAGAGCTGCTGTCCAGGAGCGAGTGGCCCAGGGTCAGACCAGTGAGCACATGGGGTCCAGGGCAGGGTGGCGGCCAAGGCTGGCTGGGCTGAGCCTCATGGGCTGAGGCCAAGCTTGAGGCCACCCTGTGTTTGTTTGCCCAGGGAATGTTCTGTTCTTCGGCTGCCGCCAACGGGACCAGGACTTCTACTGGGAGGCTGAGTGGAAGGAGCTGGAGGAGAGGGGCTGCCTGACTCTCCTCACGGCCTTCTCCCGGGAGCAGGTGGGCTGAGCGGGCAGGAGGGAGGTGGCAGGCGTGGGGCAGGCCTTCTCCTGGGAGCAGGTGGGCTGAGCGGGCAGGAGGGGAGGTGGCAGGCGTGGGGCACGGCCTCACGCCTGCCACCCCTGCCCTGCAGGAGCAGAAGGTGTATGTGCAGCACCGGCTCCAGGAGCTTGGGCCACTGGTGTGGGAGCTGCTGGACCGCCAGGGTGCCCACTTCTACCTGGCAGGGTGAGCCTGGGCAGGGGTTGGGGCAGGAACCACCCTCTGGGGCCCAGCCCCACTGAGCCCCCTGTGACCTGTCCCTCTAGCAATGCCCAGCGCATGCCAGCAGATGTGTCAGACGCTCTGGTGTCCATCTTCCAGGAGGAGGGTGGGCTTTCCAGCTCTGATGCAGCCGCCCTCCTTGCCCGGCTCCAGCAGGCTCTGCGTTTCCAGACTGAGACGTGGGCCTGAGGACCCGTCCTGCCAGCCGGTCACTCTGACCACTGCCCTCCAAGGGGCCGATGCCCCTTCCTCCCCTCCCTGTCTCACCCCAGGCAGGAGGATGGCCAGCTGCCCTGCAGAGCTGCATTCCAGTTGCAGCAGCCCACGCTCAGTGCTGACGATGCCCATCCACCACCCCACCCCACCCACAACCAGGCTTCCGCTTCTGCTGGCCTTTCCCTGCTGGCCCTGACTTGGGTCTTAGTCAGGGTGGTGACCTGGGCTGCCCCACCCTGTGCAGGCACGGTGACCCAGGAAGGCACTGGCAGCCTGATGGGATTCAGCGGCCCTCAGCGGCCCCTAGAGTTTCCAAACAGTTTAAACACTTGGGTAGACGGGGCCTGGTAGCTCTTCAAGGTGGTGCAGAGCCCCTGGGAGGGCCAAATGCCTGTTTCTCTGCCCTGGGGGATGTCAGGTGCACAGTCACCCTCTGCCACATCTCTGTGCCATGCTTCTAGTGCCCGCTGGCATCTTAGGGCACCACCGGGCCCAGGCCAGGGCTAAAATGCAGCGAGGACCCTGCAGAGCAGGAGACCCAGCCTCACACACCTTTCTCACATGTGTCCAGGAAGCCTTAGCAATAAATTACGGGGCCTAGGTGGCTGCTTTGCCTGCTCGTCCTCGTGCCTCTGGTGGGAAGTGGGCCCGTTGCTGGTCTGAGTGGTGGTGGTGCCCATAGTGGGCACATGTGCCCTGCCAGCTTTGCTGCAACACTCGTGTCCGACTCGAACGTGGTGGGTGCCAGCTGTTTGTCCACCTCGTTCAGCCAGCGTGGGGGCAGCTTGGAGAGGGACCTGGAAAGGAAGGGTGTGGGGAGGTGTGGGCAGGCTGGTATGGACCATCCCCCTTCCCAGCCCCTGGAGCTGCCGCCCGCACGGGACTGGAGGGAGGAGGCGTGGCCCGGGAGGGGACGAGAGGGAGGGGCAGGTGGCGCCCCGCCCCTAGGAGGGGCCTTCAGCGCCCAGGGGAGTTGGAGTTGAAATCAGAAAGGCTGCCCTTCCCGCACCACTGCCGCCCGGAGTCTGCAGTCCGTCTACGGGTCAGACGTTGACCGCCGTCCGCTGTGGCTTGGGCGGGCCAGGGTAGGGGGGACTGGCAAGTGTGGGCCCAGGAGCCACCTGGAATTAGCACGGGTGTTGGAGCCCAAGCAAAGTTTAATTTTCGTGAGGACGGAGCTGGGAGGAGGCTACAGCTGCTGCCAGGTCAGTGCCCAACCCGATCCCGGGCCTAGAGGGCCACAGAACCTTCACAGCACTCCCACCCCGTCGTCGCCCTGGGGTCCCAGCCCACCCACTCTGACTCCTGCCCCAGGGCCCCTACTCATGGCCCCAGTAACCTAAGCTCTGGCCATGCCAGCCCACCTTCGGCCCCCCTGGGCCCTGCGCACCTAGGCCCCCTGTTCCAAGAGCCAGCAGACGAAGGGTTGGACAGCAGGGCCCGTGGGGACCCCCACGGTGCCAGGACTCTGGACAGCGAGCCCCTGCTCTGGGCCACGGCCACAGCCTGCCCCTGGGCCGGGCCAGCAGCAGCAGGCGAGCAGGAGGAGGAGGAGTGCCCCGTCTGCACTGAGCCCTACGGGCTGGGCCGGCACCGCCTGGCCCTGCTGAACTGTGGGCACGGCCTGTGTGTGGGTTGCCTGCACCAGCTTCTGGGTGCTGCCCCCAGCACCGACCTGGGCCGAGTGCGCTGCCCGCTGTGCCGCCAGAAAACACCTGTGCTCGAGTGGGAGATCTGCCAGCTGCAGGAGGAGCTGTTGCAGGCCGACGGGCCCCAGCGGCCCCCGCCCCCTGCACCCCCCACACCACTCCGCCGGGGCCCTGAGCCCTGGGCCTCCCTGGAACACCGCTACCAGCTGCGCTTCCTGGCGGGGCCCGTGGGCGGCCAGGGCTGTCTGCCCTTCCTGCCCTGCCCGCCCTGCCTGGGCGCCTGGCTCTGGGCCCTGAGGGAGCAGGGGCCCTGTGCCCGCCGCCTGGCCCTACTGGGCCTTCTGGCCCTCGAGCTGCTGGGCCTGCTGCTCATCTTCATGCCGCTCATGCTACTCGGGCTGCTTTTCATGCTGCTGGACCGCTCTGGCCGCTGAACAGGGCCTGTTGCATCTGAACCACTGGGCCTGGGAGCACCCAGCCACCAGGAGACCAGGAAGCCCAGACGGGCCACGTCCAGAGCCTTGGTGCCATGGGGCCTTGGGAGCACCTCACCCTGAGGCCTGATGAGCAGGCTAAAAATCCCAAGGTTGTCCAGGGCACTAGCCTTCAATCAAGACCCAAACTGGAGCCAGGGCTACCTGACCTGCCTGTGTTCCAGATAAGGACCAGTGTGTGTTTCCTGAAGGGCAGGGCAGCCAAGGGGAAGGGCCCCTACTGAGCAAGCCCGGTCCACAAAGGGCCTTCTCACCCCAGGGTCCTCAGCAGTGGGGAGGCCAACATGTGCCCCTGAGCTGCCAGGGACAAGGACCCAGCCAGGCCTTAGAGGAGAATGCCGAGCTGAAGCCCGATTGCCCCGAAGCCTCACGGTGCCCAGCCGGGGCCTTATCTGAAGGACAGACGCGGTCACAGCACCACCTCCCAGGCCTGTTGGTGACATGCTGAGCGCTGTGCCTGGCACAGAAAAGGCTCTCAATAAACAGCAGCTGCTGAAACTGTTGTTACGGTGTTGTCACCTCTACCCCTTCTTCCCCGACCCAGGAGGCCCTGAGTCCTTGTACCTGACCATGATCTCAGCCAGCTTGTGTCCCAGCCCCAGCTCCAACGGGCCCAAAGTCTATCCTCACACAACCTCAGAGGGTCGGGTGGGTACCAGGAGCCAGGCACACTGAACTGTCCCCCACACACTGGCTCCCATGTCCAGCAGCCAGTGCAGAAGATACGTCCTCCCAGTGCCCAGCTCAGCCCATTAGTCCCGCGAAGTGCTCACAGGCAGCTGGCTCTGCATGAACGTGTGGGTATTCACCTGCACACACACACACCCTCCCTGTTGGGCCCAACCCTCCTGAGCACCATGCCTGGCCCCCAGAGAGCAGAGCAAGCTGACCCCAAGCAGCAGTGGGCCTCCCTCTGGTGGCTCCAGGCTGGACCCTTCAGCCCTGGGCACAAGCCACAGTAGCAGGCTTCAGTCCAGGGGACACGGTGCAAACTTTGGCAAAGAGTTTTAATGGCAAAGTTGGCTGCAGTGACAATGCCACACGGTGGGGGCCAGAAGCTGTGGTGGGTGAGGGGTCAGCGGGCAACAGGTAGGGCCAGATCCCTGAAGAAGCGGCGAGCAAGGACCAGCAGGCGGTGGCAGGCGGGTGGGCACTACATGATGGAGCAGGCAGATAGTGGGTTCCTCACGTGGCAGGTGCACGCAGCCCCACAGTACTGCCGGAAGGTCTGGTAGCAACTGCCCTCAGGCTCACCCCCCCACTGGCCACCAGATGGGGCAGTCAGGGCCTCGGGTGGCAGGCGGCTCAAGATGGACGTGTTGACGGCCAGCGCAGCCAGGCCGTAGTCAGTGAAGAGCACAGTCTCACGGCGGCAGGTGGGACAGGAGATGAACTTGTACTTGGGGCAGGACTCGTAGAGGATCTGCAGGCACTGCTCGCACACAGAGTGCAGGCAGGACAGCACGCGCGGCCGCCGCTGGGTGACGTTGTATGTGTGCCCGCACGTGGGGCACTCCAGGGGCTCACCCACAGCTGGGGCTGCTGCCGTGGGGGCCCCCGAGGCAGCAGGGCCAGGCCGCATCACGTACTGATTCACGATGACCTCGTCCGCTGGTGCCACTCGGGGGAAGCCCAGCTCCGCGCTGCCCTTGCGGGGCCTCCGTGGCAGGGGTGGTGTGCGGGGTGCCCCTTCCAAGGCAGGCATGTCCCCCCCACATGCCTGGTTGACAATGATCTCTGTGTCTGAGGGCCAGGCGCGCTTGGGTGCCGGAGCAGGGGCAGGCCGAGGTGCAGGTGGGAAGCAGGGAGCAGCCGTTTGCAGCTCGGGGAACTTCTCAGGGTGGACAATCTTCATGGCCTCCATCTTGAGGATGACATGGGGGCCCTTCAGGCAGGACATGAGGAGGCCCGGCCAGCCACTGCCCGCCTCGGGCCCAGGGTCAGCCGGCATCCGGCTGTCTCCAGTCAGACTGGGTGTTCGGGTGGGTGGGAGCGTTGGGTGAGGCCGGGGGGGAGGAGAAGGGGCAGCATTCTGGTCCTGCCAGGCCTGGTGGGGACCCCGGCCGCCCCGTGGACTCCTGGGGGCAGCCGGTGAGACCTGGGGGGGCAGGGCCCCCCCCAGTGGCCACAGTGACTTCTCTGATCCAGTCCTGGGAGGAGGAGGAAGGGGCGGGGGGCGGGGGCTGGGGGGTATGGGAGGCTGCGCTGGGCCGGAGGTCTGGCCTCGGGGCTCACCCAGGGTCTCTGGCTGCAGAGGCCGGCAAGGGGGCTGGGGGGACGCTCCCCCTGCAGCCGAGGTCAGCAGTCCCCGGGCCGGGACATCCGGGCAGGCAGGGGCTAGGTGGGCCCCATGGCTCCAGGACAGGGCGCCGAGGGAAGGCAGCTAGGCTGAACCCTGGCTGCAAAAGGACGCGGGCCGCGGGCTCGGCGGCGGCGGCAGCGAAGGAGAGGCCTGGACCAGGCCCAAGCTGCAGGTGAGAGACCGCGTGAGGGTAGCGCCCGGGCCCACCCTCGCCCCCACCCTGCCCCCACCATGCCCTGCACGAAAGACCCGGAGCCCGACCTCTGACCCTGACCCTCGCCGGACTCGGGACCCAGCCCCCTCCCAGCCCCGCCCCCAAGGCCCGACCCCAGCCCGGGTGGGAAGAGTGGCCGCCCCGCCCGCCCGCGCTCACCTGCCCCAGCCTGGCGTCTCCGGGCCGCGCGCGCCGCCGCCGCAGAGGTTGTCTCAAAGGCAGGCCCGGATGCAGTGCCCGCGCCTCTGCCCAGTGGCTGCGGCGGCGACCTCCGGCGATGGCGCGGCGCGGCGGCTCCCGAGGGCTCGGGGTGCTGGGCGCGGGGCTTGGCGCGGCGCGGCGCGACGGCAGGTGCGTGCGGAGCGTGGCGCGCTCTGCGGCGGAGGCGCGGGGACCGCAGTGCGCGCGGCGCCCGCCCGCGCCCGCAGCGCCACCCCCAGTCTGGGGACCCGCGCGGGGTCTGCGGGGCGGGGCCAGTCTCCCGGCCGCCCCTCGATCCGCCGCGGGCCTGGCGCCCGCTCCCGGGGTCGCCCTCTCTGCTCAGGCTGCGTGCGGGTCAGGACCCCCACGTCGCCGCTCCTCCAGTCCCCTCCATCCCTGTCCCTGCCTGGCTGACCCTGGGTCTTAGTCAAGCCCCCCGCCCCATTCTGGGAGGAAAATCATGCTTTTTGCAGCCTGAGGCCTCACAATGCCACAGGGAGGGAAAGGAGGGGAGACCCAGAAAAGCTGGTTCCCAGGGTCCCACCCGGAGAGTCAGGATCTCTGCTGGTCCCTCGGCTGTGCCCAGTGGGAATGCCTCCCGACGTTTTCCACTGGCAGGTGCACCCAGGCATGCCGAGCAGTGTGACCCTAAGAGGACGAGCAGAGTTAGGCAAGCAGGTATCGGCGGGGTGGAAGGAGGGAGGAGGTAGCTGGTTCCAAGGACAGAACTGCGGGAGAGATGGGTGGGGTGAGGGGTATGCGGAAAGTCAAGCAGCTGGACGCACCACGGTGGAGTGGCCCACAGAGGACACCATAGGCACCTACCCACGGTGGGGTGGCCCCTTCTGGCAGCACGTCGGGTCAGCACGTGTCCCGTCCTCCTACAGTTGTGAGGTAACCTGACCCCATGGGGCCCAGAGGCCCAATTCCTTTGCGTTTCCTCCCTAGTCTAGGCTTCCCTGCTTTCCTGGGATACAGCCTCTGCCTGTGGGGAGCCCTCAGCTGAGAGGGAGGACGGTGGACATTCTGGCAACTACAGGGCAGGGGGCCAGGGCTGCAGGGGCCTCCAGAGTGGCCACCCATTGACCTGCCACGGCCTCCACATGACATGCTGGCACTCCTGGGACCGGCACTGGACCCGGCGCCTGAGCCGGGACAGGCCCAGCCCCTTATGGCCACAGCCCTCTCCTTTGTGCAGGCCTAGCCCCAGATCCTCCAGGGCCGTGGAGACCAGAAGTCGGTGCTTCTGGTGAGGGAGCCCACGTGGGGATGCAGTCCCTGGCCCAGGGGCCTGACTTTACTGCTCTGTGGGACCTCGGGCCCGCGCTTGGGCCTGCTTCCTCTGGGTGTGAGAGGTGTGCAAGTGCAGGGGCCCGGTGGAAGGGGCAGCGAGGGCCTGTGGGGCCCTGGAGTGAAGGTGGGGTCACTGAGGCAACCCCGGCGGGAGGAGGTTTGGCTGGGGGTGCAGCCTTAGCCACCAGCTCCTCTCCTCTTCCCACCGACCCGTTGGGCGTGCACCCAGGCAGGCACCAGCCTCCAGGCCCCACCCCTTGCCCCGCCCATAGGGATGAGGTCCTGCCGCGTGCAAGTCCCCGCTTGGAGCCCGCGCATCGTGAGCGCGGAGTCAGAGCTGGGGCGGCCCCAGCCGGGCCCTGGACCGTCCGAGACCAGCAGACCCCGAACCTTGTCTTTAAGGAAACCTCCGTGCGCGGAGGCTTCTGGGGATTTAAGTTCCCACAGACCGCCCCCACGCCTGTTCCGCGCAAGCGCCAGCCTCAGCCTCGCAGCAAGGGGCGGAGTCTGAGGGGGCGGTGGGCGGGGTTACAGGCGCCTGCGCAGTGGACCTGTGATGTCCGCCTCCCGGTTTCTCCCACATTGGGTGCTGCGTTGGTAGGACTCGTGTCCGGACCGGTCTGACAGGCCCCACACAGGCCACCCCGGTCACCCCGGCTTTTGCGCCACGTCTGATTTGATCACGTCCTTCCTGGGAGGAACCCCGGGCGCCAAGGACTGGGGTTGGGTCTGGGTGGCCCAAGGGGAGCTCCCCAGCGCCAGGCCCGGGCCCAATGGTCACACCCACCGTTACCCCAGCACAGCGACCCTGAGGGGCAGGTGCCACGTGCCGCCTTACAGATGAAGGTGGAGAGAGAGGGGCTGGGGCCAAGGATGGGACGCTGAGGGGGTTTGTGGCCCCCAAGCCCACCAACCAGAGTCAAACTGCCGTTTCAGAAACTAGCTAGAAACGTCACTTTTGTATGAAGCCCATGTTATCAGTTGTAAGTTTTACCCGCAAAGGTGTGTAAATCAGTCATTTTTTTTTTATCGGTTAAAAAAACGGAAAACCTCATAGTGATCTGTGCTCTCAAACACCTTGGACTCTGCCTGCCAGGCTGGAGTTGTGGGTTGCAGTGGGGACCTCTGCCCTCTGCCCTCTGCCTCTCAACAGGGCTTTGGGGCTGTGATGGCTGGGGCCCCGACCACCTTGACTGGGACCTGAGGGCCTGACCCCAGGCTCACCTCCTGTCCTCCTTGCTGGCCGACCACAAGTCCTGGAGGGCACAGGACGCGCCCCAGATGCATAGAGGCTGAGTCACCCAGCCAGCAGGGCCCCTTGGGAACCCAGGCCATGGCTGCCACCCACCTGTAAAGGAAGGGTGGGCACCCACTGTCCTGAGAAGTTGAGGCCTCCTGGAATCTTATGAACCCCATCTTTGAGCCCCGCCCCATGGCTCCACCCGTCCGCAGGAGGGAAAAGGCCTGCCAGTCGCCCAGCTCACAGGCACTGGGACCTAGCCCACAGGACGAGAGGACAGCCTGCCGCCATCACTACTTCAGGTGGGTCCTGGGCAAAGGGGCTGCCCTGCCCTGGGGCTCCCCACCTCCCAGCTCCACACAGGGCACTGCCTGGCAGGAGGGTCGCTGGGGGACACTGGCCCTCTCAGCTCACCCCCAAGCACACGCTCACAGACTTAGCACACTCTGGCATCTCCACAGCCAGGCTCTTCCTGGGGTGGGGGCTTCCCTGGGCTGCAGCTGCTCCCCTCCACCAAGCCACTGTTGTTTCCTCTGCCCACTGCTGCCAGGCCAGGCCATGGATCCCCATGAGATGGTCATCAAGAACCCGTACACCCATATCAGCATCCCCCGGGCTCACCTGCGGCCCGACCTGGGGCCGGGGGAGGCTTCCCGCTCAGAGCTACCGCCTCTGCCTGTGGGGTCCTGCGCCCCAGAGCCCATCTGCCTCCTGCGGCCCACTGATGAGCTCCCAGGGCCCAAGGGCACAGAGGGGGCCTGGCAGCGCCCAGCAGGGCTGGGCTGTGCCAGCCAGCCACCTGTGGGGCACGGGGATGACATCGCCCACCATTGCTGCTGCTGTCCGTGCTGTTCCTGCTGCCACTGTCCCCGCTTCTGCCGCTGTCACAACCGCTGCTGCTGTGTCCTGTCCTAGCCCAGCCCAGGGCCCTGCTCCAGCGGCCACGTGCGGGTGTTGCCACTTCCCACCTGGCGGGGCACCTACCCACCAAGCCGACAGCTCAGCCGGGGCCCCAAGCAAGAGCCCGGGGCCGTGATAGCAGCCCCAGGGACACCCTTGACCACCTCCTTCAAGGCCCAGGACCCAGGCAATAAAGCGGAGCAAACTTTGTGCAGGCGACTCCTCTCCTTTGCTGCTGTGCCCTTAGGAGGGGCCCGGGCTGGACAGCACCACTGGCCCAGCATCTGTGGGGTAGGGACCTGGGGATAGGGACGCCACTGCCTCCCGACAATAACCTGCACTGCAGGACTCAGGTCTGTCCAGTGGTGGGACAGGAGGGGCAGGAGGGGGTCCCAGCTAGCCCGCCCAGACCTGGGTTCGAGCTGCCTTGTGTTCCCTAGGGCCGAGGGCAAGCCCGGGAGACCTGTCAGCCTGTGCGTCAGACAGCCGCAGGGTGCTGAGCATGGACCCAGGGCCGAGCCGAGGAGGGCTTCTGGGAGGAGGGCCTGGCACTGGCTGGTTTCTGGGAGTAGGTGCCAGGACTGAGTCCTGCCCACCCGTGAGTCACCACCCTACCTCAGCTGGGGCATTTTTCTGGTTTCCCATGAAGCATCCCCTTCCTGAACATCTGCTGTGTGGTGCCCAGGCCTTGCTGCTCTCTCGCTGTCCTGCCTCTGGGGCCGAGAAGATACTGGGCCCGGAGAGCACTCAGAGACTGCGGTCTGTCTGGGCAGCACAGCACACCAGGTTGGGGCGTGCAGGGAACCGAGCTCTGGGAGGCCCCACTGCTGGGGTGAGGCCGGATGCCAGAGTGGGGAGTGAGAGGTGAGACAGTGCTGGGCACCCTCACATTTCCGGGGCTGGGCAGAGGTAGCCAGAGGAGGAAGTTGAGCTGGCTTCACAGGACAGACGGGTCCTCGTGCTGGTCCAACCCTGACCCTCGGTGGCGGCCACCCAGCAGGACAGGTCTCTGAGCATGAGCGTACGTGTCATTGGCCTGACGGAGCCAGGACTCGGGTGTGCCAGGCTCCTGGCCCCTGCCCCATGACCAGCCCCATCCCAAGCCAGCCACAGAAACCCATCTGACCAGTCAGGAAGGCTGTGGACAGCCAAGGCAGTAGGAGGAAGGAGGGGCCCCCTGCCTGTGGCTCCCTGCCAGGTGGGTGGTGAGGTTCCGGGGGTCCTGACCCACCTGACCCTCCTCAACACACCCCATCATCCAATACCTGTGTCCCAGTCACTGGGTTGACCCTGGGGCTAGGAGCAGAAGCCAGGGGAAGGTATCTGGGGCTGGCCACAGAGCCCTGTGCCTCAGCCGGTGGTCACTGCGTGTGCCTGAGGCCTCCTTGGGGCCTTTTGGGACTGGCTGTGGCCCGAGGATAGAAACACACCAGACTCAAACCAGGCAGGGACAAGGCACTTGGACACACATACCGTAACAGCTGTAGAGCAGAGCCCTCAGGACTCCAGGCCAGTGCAGGTCCTGGCAGGCTTCCTGAAGGAGGTGATACTCAAACTGACATCTGAAGAATGGGCATCAGCCAGGTCAAGGCCAGAAAGTTTTCCCAGTGGAGGGGGGGATAGGAAAGAGGTGTGGGGTGGGGGCCGGCCTGGGTATGGAGTGGGGGGTGGGGCAGAGTGGGGGATGCCTTATCTTCCTACAAGTTGGTATGCTGGTGGATCCAGTTGCAAGCCCTTTGTCGCTGAAAGGGGAGCCCAGGCCTGCACAGCCACCACCTGCCTCCCTGCTGACTCGTCCGTGCTTGGCCAGTAACGCGAGCCCCAGGGAGGGAGCTGCAGGGTCCCCTGGGTCCACCCCGACCCCGGCCACTTGCAAACCAGGCATAGCCAACGATGCAGGTAAGAGAGAACTGGGGTTCAGGCAAGTGCAGGTGTGGGTGCACAGGGGCCACAGGGAGGGCCCAAACATCAGGACGGGGTGCTGCCCAGCGGGCAACCACAAGAACCCAGGCTGGGCCCAGACATTGGTGTCTACAGGCCACTGGCCACCACCCACTCTCCCAGCTCTGCAGAGGCCTGGGTTCCTGTCCTCCAGGTAGGCTTCCAGTTCTGGGGTCCCAACAGTAGAGAACAGCTACAGAGGTGGGCAGGGTGGGCTTGAGCTCCACTGCATGCCTCCCCCAGGATGCTGCAGCCAGAAGGATCCCAGGCCTCTGAGCTGGGACAGCTGCTGGGACCCGGCGGGGTGACTGCATCATCTGCTACTCGACCTATGACCTTACCGGACACCTGCCACGCCGCCTCTACTGTGGCCACACCTTCTGCCAGGCGTGTGTATGCCAGCTGGACATGCCGGCCCATGAGCAGCGCTGGATCCCCTGCCCTCAGTGCCGCCAGAGCATACCCACGCCCCGTGGGGGGGTGGCCATGCTGGACCTCGACCTGGCCACCTTCCTGGAGATCAAGGCCGAGCGGGAGCCGTCTTGAACAGAGCCCCAGCCCCCTGCCCCCCTCAAAGGCAGCGCAGCCATCACTCAGCAGCCGGCTGGGCTCTGCCCCAGCTTGGGACCCCAGCCCCACTTTCCCCAGCCCAGATGCTGCTGCTGGGGCTGCGGCCCCCTCTGCTGGGGCCCCCCAGGCAGCCCTGAGGTCTGAGCTCTGGCCGCTGCCACTCCTGGCGGGGAGTTGCTGCCTGTGGCAGGCGTGCTTCAGAACTTTTGCTGGCAGGACAGCCTGCCTGGGACAGTCTGGGCACAGCAAACTGGGGTCTTCCCCTTGTGGATACCCACTGGCCACAGCCTGAGGGTGGCGGCTTTGCTCACAGTACAGTGAGACTGTTGGATGCCGGTGTCTTCCCTCCTTGCCTGGCGGGCATTTCCAGGCCCTGAGCGAGCCTGGCAGGGTTTAGCGGGGTGGGGGGTGTGCTGCTGCCCCAGTCGCTTGCAGACCCAGCCCCGGCCTGGACTCAGCTCAGAGGTGGTTCCTAAAGGGGTCTGGGGGCCAGTCCCCCAGTCTCTGGCTGCAGGCTGGAGGGACAGGGCCTGGCTAAGGCCGTTCCTGGCTGTGCTTGGGCACATGCCCCCTCCCATGTAAAACGTCCCATAGGTGTGAGCCTGTGAGCCAGCAGAGGGGAGCCGCCTCCTGGCCTGCAAAGTAGCCCTGCTTGGTTCATTCAACAAAGGTCACTGAGCCGCAGAGTGTGCACCATTCCAGGAGGGTCCCCTGCAGGCACAAAGTTACCTGCAACTGGTGTCCAAGGAGAGGGCTCTGGGTGAGGCAGCTCTAGGCCCAGAGAAGGTGAGGACCTGCCTGAGGTCACACAGGTCAGTAGGGCCACTCCCACACTGGACCCTTTGCTGGCCCTCAGCTTCTCTCTGCCTCCAAGTGGCCACCACACAGACAATTCAGAGGGGCCAGAGCAGGTGCTATGGATGCAGACATCCCCAAAGTCAGCCTGCAACATCCCCATCCCTGCTTGGGCAGGAGCATCATTCAGGAGCCCCTGGGAGGGCCCGGGAGGGGAGGGGGAGGGGGAGGGGGAGGTGAGGGCCCAGGGAGGGGAGGGCCCACCCCCACCCCCACCCCCACCCCCACCCTGGACGGTGGATGGCCGGACGAGAGCATCTGCCGAGAGGACTCTCAGAAACCTCCCCCTTCCCTGGGACAAAGTCCCCCGTGCACACAGCAATCGGTGGTAGGAGGGCCCCTGGGGAGACTAGGCCCGAGGGGGAGCAAAGGGGCTGGCACTGGCAGGCCCAGCTCTTCCTCCTGGCATCCCAGGGGCAGGAAGGAAACTGACCCCAAAAAGGGGCATCCCACAAATGGTGGGATAGTTAGGACCCAGCTGGGGAGAAAAGTGGGCAGGTAAAGTCTCCTGGCCCCAGTGGGGTTGGGCAGTGGGCTGTGCAGCAGACGGGCCCCACCTTGCTCCCCTGGCAGTGGAGGCCTGGTGCCCTCCACGCTTCTGGGAGCTCTACCCAGGCCACCCCAGCCTGAACCGGGATCTGAACTGGATGACCTCGGGATTGGTGCCCCACCCGCCCACCTGGTGCAAAGGGCTTCCCTCCCACCGTCTGACCAGGGTAGGGAGGACCTTGATGCAGTCTGCGGAGCTCAGGGCAGACCTCCCTAGGGGCCCACCTGCCAAGCAGACCTCCCACCCTGCCTTAGGCAGGTGTCCGGGAACGTCACTGCCCCGGCATGTGCTGGTGGAAGTCGAGCCCCGAGGGCCTGGGCACTGGCCTGCAACACCCCTGGCCTAGCTCCAGGCCGGTCCGGCGAGAACTGCATGCCAAGAGGACTGGGTTGGGGGCCGGAGCACCTGCGCGAGGGTGAAGGGGGACCTGGACAAGGCAGGTGCCATGGCTACAACCAGTACCCCTTGGGGGCCTTGACTCCTGGGTAAACATTAATGGGGCTCATACACAGCAGGTCATGTGCGCCCAGTGGATCTTTGACCTGCAGCTGCTTCTGTCCTGTGTCTCCTCCCTGCAGGTGCCCCCTCACTACACAGGTAGGAGCTCCTAGGACCAGGCGGGGGCCCAGGGACACTGGGCCCAGGGCATAAGCCCCCAACCCAGAGCCTCCAGGGCTGAGGGAAAGAGAGCAGCTTGGGAACAAGCAGGAGAGAGAGGTGACAGGAAGCCCCCAGAACCCAGTCCCCGGGAACTAGGAGGGAGTCAGGATGGAGGATGAGGTGGGGGCTCCAGACTAGGTGGGCTGAGGAGGAGCCTTGAGGTGGGGTGGGGGCACCTGAGCCCCTTGCCCTGCCCCCATCACCGGGGTGGGGTCTTTAGCCAGCAGAGACGTCACTGTTTGGTATCAAATGCCAAAGTCTAAGCTGGGACCATCTGCAGTGTCCCTGATGACAAAATAGGAGAGGTCCTTGGGTTCCTGCTCCAGCCCCTACTGGCTCACTCCCCAGCACCCTGTGCCCTCAGCCACCCACACAGCCTTCTTCCAGCTGACCAGCGCGGGAACCAGCGAGCCAGGGCCTCCTCAACGCTGCCCCCAAAACTGGACGGGGCTCACCTGACAGCTGCCTGAGGTCACTATAGCCAGCCCCCTGCAGATGGAGGAAGGGGGAGATCACCAAGGCTAGCAGGGGGTGGGAAGGCTGGGCAGCAGCCAAGGACTCAGGTCAGAGGACCCCAGGGCCTGGTGGGGCAGGGGGAGATGAGTCTGACCTGCCCTTCCACCAGCAGATCCGGGCTTGGCTTGGGTCTTTCCCTGCCCAAAGTCCATGCCGAATTCCCTCGCAAGTGGCCAGGCCCTCCCCACTCTTGGCCTGGTGGACCGGAGTCTGGGCAATGCAGGTACCAGGAAACCCCCAGCCCAGGCCTCAGCCCGCCACCCAGCCCTGATCCACTGCTCTGGATAAGTGGGCAGAGGTGCTCCAGCCGCCCCCTGGAGGGCCCGTGGGGCTCCTGACAACTCTGGCCCAATAACTGGAGGCTCCTTTCCTCCTGTTTCCCGCTTCCGTCTCTCGCCTGAGCGAGTGCCAGGGTTCCCCCCACCCACTTTTGCCCCTACCTGGAGCTATCCAGGAAACATCTGGGTCCCTGGCTCTAGTGACCCCAAGCCCTGCAGGGCCCTGCAGTCCTGCCCCTGCCTTGGGAGAGGGAGACACAGACCCCTGGGCCCTCCCCCAGCTAAAGGACACTGACCAGTCCTGGAAAGGTAGGTGTGGAAGGTAACTGTCCAGATGGGGCCCTGGCTCCCCAGGGTCTGAGTGTGGAGCACATCCTTGGGGAGAGAGAGCAGGGAGGTGGTTTGCCCCAAAAGGCCACATGGAGACCCACCGCCATGCGCACGACCGCCGTGGGGACCCAGCTTGGCTGCCTACAGCACGCCTGCTCAGCCGCCCACCTCCCCTGCCGCCCCTGCTGGCTGGGGCGCTTCTGGGAGGTCACTGGGGCCGTCTGCCGGGTGCTCCGCAAAGAAACAGAGGAGGGGCCCCCAGACCCTGCCCTGCGGGAAGAGGAGAAAGGGGCCCAGCAGCGGCAGGGCTGGCTGAGCACAGCTGCCCGGTGCCCTCAGAGCTCAGCTCGGCCAGCAGGGTGCTCCGGGCGGCAGTGGGCTTCCTCAAGGCCTGTGGGCTTCTGGGCAACCTGTACCTCTTCGTCTGCTCCCTGGACATCCTCAGCTCGGCCTTCCAGCTGCTGAGCGGTGAGTGAGTGGCTGGGCAGCTGGGCATGGGGTGGGCAGCATGCCCTCCATAGCCTCAGCGCACCTCCCTCCCGGGTGTAGGCCAAGTGGCTGGAGACATCTTCAAGGACAACGTGGTGCTGTCCAACCCCGTGGCTGGACTGGTCATCGGTGTGCTGGTCACTGTTCTGGTGCAGAGCTCCAGCACGTCCTCCTCCATTGTTGTCAGCATGGTGGCTGCCAAGCGTAAGTGCCCCCACCCTCCCGGGACGGTGGTGGGCAGGTGGGCACGAGAGGCTAACACAGCACCCCCAACAGTGCTGACCGTCCAGGCTTCTGTGCCCATCATCATGGGCGTCAACGTGGGAACGTCCATCACCAGCACCCTGGTCTCGATGGCACAGTCGGGGGACCGCGACGCGTTCCGGAGGTAAGTGGGGTGTGGGGGCCGGGTCTGCCCTTGCCGCAGGGGCTGAGGCGGTCCTGCTGTGCGCAGGGCCTTTGGTGGCTCCGCGGTGCACGGGCTCTTCAACTGGCTCACCGTGCTGATCCTGTTACCTCTGGAGAGTGCCACGGCCCTACTGCAGGAGCTCAGTGCGCTGGCCCTGGGCACTGCCAGCCTGCCAGCCGGGGTGCACACTCCTGACATCCTTAAGGTGCTGACCCAGCCGCTTACACACCTCATTGTGCAGGTGAGAAAGGCTGCCGCCCTCCCAAGGCCCCTCGCCTGGGCATGTCTGAGGAGAGGGGGGCGGAGGGGCCAGGGCTGTGTCTGGCCCTGCACAGGCAATCCTGTCCCACAGCTGGACACTGACGTGATCATGCACAGCGCCACAGGCAATACCACCAACAGCAGTCTCATTAAGCAATGGTGCGGCACCAGGGGGCCGACGGTGAGGTGCCTCTGACCCCCGGCCTCTAGCCTGCTGAGTTACCAGCCCCACCTGCTTGGGGGTCGTCCTGAGCCTGTCCTGCCTCACCTCCCAGACCTCGGGGAGCGGCGACTGCGGAACAGATGCCCTTGGCCCCTGCCCGGAGCCCAGCAGCTCGGCCACCGTGGAGCAGCTGCCTTGTGAGGCCCCGCGCACGCTCCCAGCCCCCACCCGCCCTGCACACTGGCCCCCATTTACCCCCGCCCCCTGCCCGCAGGCCGCCACCTGTTTGTGGGCACGACGCTCACAGACCTGGCCGTGGGCCTCGTCCTGCTGGCCGCCTCCCTTCTCGTGCTCTGCACCTGCCTTGTCCTCATCGTCAAGCTGCTCAACTCTGTGCTGCGTGGCCGCGTCGCCCAGGCCGTGAGGACGGTCATCAATGCTGGTGCGGGGGGACACTCGGATGGATGCGGGGGGGCCCAGGGAGGCCAGGCCGGTGACCTTGCTCCCACCACCCCCAGAATTCCCCTTCCCATTTGGCTGGCTCAGTGGCTACCTGGCAATCCTCGTGGGCGCCGGCCTGACCTTCCTCCTCCAGAGCAGCAGCGTCTTCACAGCGGCCATTGTGCCCCTCATGGGTGAGCATGATGGGAGCGCCCAGCCTCAGGAGCAGGGGCTTAGGGCCCCATGGTGACCCCAGGCTCCCCCAGGGGTCGGGGTGATCAGCTTGGAGCGGGCGTATCCCCTCTTCCTGGGCTCCAACATTGGCACCACCACCACGGCCCTACTGGCTGCCCTGGCCAGCCCTGCGGACAGGCTGCTCAGCGCCATCCAGGTACCGCGCCCCCACCCCTCCTGGCCCCCAGCCCCTCACACTCCCAACACCAGCCCTCAGCTATCCCTTGCCCTCAGTACCCTCTGGTCCAGCCATGTGGGCATCCTGGTCCATCCTGGGACGGCTGCCTGCTAGGACCTGAAGCCCCACCTCGGGCCCCAGGGGACCTCTGGGCATCTCTCAGACCCCCAGCGACCTCACCGGTTCCAGGACTGTGTGGTCCTGGGGTGCCCTCGCCTTTCTCTCTGTCAGCCCCTCCCTAACTTCCTTCAAGGGACACGGTCTCCTCCGCCCCCCGCCCTGTGCTCCTGGCTGGGTTTCCTTTGAAGCCTTCCACCCTGGAGGGCCTTGGGCTTTCTGTTCTGCCACCTCCAGGATGCCCCCCGACCACCGTCTAATCCAGTAGGCCCCTTCTTGGACAGCATGCCATCTTCCTGCAAAGCGCTGCCCCACCTGTGCTGGGTGCTCCCTGCTGCCCCGGCCCCTGTCCCCATTCTGCCTCCAGGATGCCTCTCTCCCATTTAGTCCTGCTGATTCCCTGAGCCACCCCCTCGGTGGCCCAGTGCCCTGGCTCGCACTTCCTCCCCCCCACCTCTGCCTGGGCGCCTGGGCAGGTCCGGCTCCTGAGAGCCCAGATGTTGCCAGGCTGCTGCCCACAAGAAGAAATGAGCCCAGCTGGTTCTCCCCGCCCCCACCTGCTCTCTTGCCTCTGCTCTATCTCAGCCACTCAGACTCTCCCAGTGCAGAGCCCTGCTTGCTCCACTCCCTCCGGGAAGCCCTCCAGACTGCACCAGCTGCACCAACACCTCAAGTCCAGCAACCCCTGGAGGGGGGTGTGTTCCCTCCGCGTGGGGCCCAGCACCTCCTCCCCTTCAGAGCCAAGCCAGAGCCTGGGACTTGGGTGGTCATTCCCACCCAGGGGTTAGAAAGGGTCACCAGGCCTGAGGCACACACAAGCTAAAGCCAAGCCAGCCAGGATTGGATCCATGCAGTCACCACACTGGGATGCCAGGCTGGGCTCCCTGCCCCCAAAGGTGGGGGTGGGGGCTGCGGAAGGAGCCTGCCTGAACCTGGCCGGAACCTGCTCTCCCACTTGGCCCATCTCAGCCAGTGGTCAGGACCCCAGACAGGCTTCAGACTCAGTGCCCTTTCTGCAGAGGTGAGGAGAGGCGGGCGTCCCGGGGAGCCCAGGCTCCTGACCCCTGCCTGGCCTCCTTCCCTCTAGGTTGCCCTCATCCACTTTTTCTTCAACCTGGCTGGCATCCTGCTGTGGTATGTGGTGCCCATCCTGCGGCTGCCCATCCCGCTGGCCAAGGGCTTCGGAGACCTGACTGCCCGCTACCGCTGGGCGGCCATCGCCTACCTGCTCCTCAGCTTCCTGCTTCTCCCACTGGCTGCCTTCGGGCTTTCCCTGGCTGGAGGCACGGTGCTGGCTGCCGTCGGGGGTCCCCTGGTAGGGCTGGTGCTCCTCGTCATCCTGACCAACGTCCTGCAGCGGCACCGGCCGGCCTGGCTGCCCAGCTGTCTGCGGTCCTGGGCCTGGCTCCCACTCTGGCTCCATTCTCTGGAGCCCTGGGACCGCCTGGTGAGCCGCTGCACGGCCTGCAGCTCCCCTCAGGCCACCACCAAGGAGGCCTACTGCTACGGGAACACCGAGGTCCTGGCATCCCAGCAGTTGTGAGGGGCAGGCCCCCCACCCCACTGACCTCTGGGTGTCCTAGGGGAATCCCAGGAGCAGAGGACTTCTGGGTGACCTGGCTGGCTTTCTTTGCAAATAAATGAGGCCGAGTCCCAGGTGTGGGTGGTCTTCACTCTTAGACAGGGGATACCTGGGGAGGGCCCCAGCCCGGCTCCAGGAGGGTTGGAGATGGACGTGCACTGATACTGCCCCCTAGCAGACAGTCGGGGACCTGTGGTAAAAAATGCGTGGGCACCTGCTGTGCTGGAGGTGGGGGCAGCTCCCCGCGGATCCCGAACCCCAGGCTGACTCTCTCTCCGTGGTCTCCCGGCACAGAATCACCAAGCAGCATCTGGTCGGAGCATAGAGACTTCCTGAAGCAAGCAGCTGGGTCCAGGGAGGCAGTGCCTGCAGGCTCCCACGCACCCTGCCCCCAAGGATGCATGCCTGGAGGCCCACGTGGGTGTGGGCAGCCTGCTGTCAGGGCCCTGAGTTCCGCTGGTGTGTGGGGGAGTTAGGAGGGGATAGAGTGAGGGCCTGGTGGCCTGGAGGTGACACCCCCAACCCATTCTGCCCACCTTCTCCAGGCTGGGTGAAGTTCCAGGGGAGGAGGGAATGGGTGTCAAGGGTGGGGGACCCCTCGGTTCCTGGCTGGGCCGGGCCAGGCAGGCACTCAGCGGCCCAAGATCCACCAGGAAGCAGGTCCTGCCCTTCACCCCTGGCCCCACTTGCACCTGGAGCCCACATTACAGGCAAAATCCCTTGGCCACAAGGCAGTGGGCAAAGGCCACTGGTCCAGGTGAGGGCAGTGAGGCCAAGCACTGTGCCCCACCTGGGGGTGCACTCAGGGCTCCAGCCACCCCCACTCTCCCTGCAGCCCTCGGCTGTCCCACACTGTGGGGCTTGACTGCTGGCAGGCCACCAGACAAGGAGGAGGCTGCCGCCCTGCCCCTCCAGCCCAGGGCTGCCCACAGCCCCAGCCCAATAGCCCCATGCCACGGGGGAAAGAAAGCTTTGAGTAAATTCCATCTGTCACCCAGATTCACACAGGGCGCGGGACACACAGGCACAGACCAGAGGCCAGACAAGCTGACCCCAGTCACGGGTCTGGTTTGCTCCTTCTTGGTGGGCTGCTGTGGCCGGTCACCTCCTCCCAGTCCAGGGGCACTGGCATGATGTGGGGGCACATTCCCAGTCCCTCGGGTTTGCCTAGCCAGTGTGAATGGTCAGTATGAGGCCTGAGAGAGCCCTAGGGCCAGTTCTTGTCCAGGGCCCTCTCCTTTGACCTCCCTGCAGGTTCCCCTGTCCTCCCAGCAACCCACCAGGCCTCTGAGCCTGGGGCTCCCTGCCCCTCCCAGGAAGTAGCCACCTGTTCTCAGAGCCAAGAGCACCTCAGAGGACCGATTCCCGGGGGCAGTCTCATGCACTCCAGCTGCCCCCACCCCAACTTCTTTGCCCTCAGATGCTCCTGGGGCTCTGATATTAGCCTCATGGTCCCTCTGAAGGAAGTCCCCAGAGGAGAGGCTGCTGGGGGTTCCCTGGGGAGATGGAGAGGGCTTCTCCTCCCCACAGTAGGGAGGGGGTGAGAGGAGAAGGAAGCACTCCATGCACCTCTCCTTCTGGGGCGGGTGAGGCCACCCACAAAGGCTGACCACTGGGTCCTTTGAGGCCGTGAAGGACTGTCTGCCTGCTGCCCCTGCCTGGCGGTAACACAGCCTCCCGCTGGGACCATGGACACCGGTAAACAGAGCTGTCGTTGTGGACGCCTCCAACGGCAGCAGGTGTGGTGGGGGGCTGGGTTCCCATTCCTCCCATGGCTCCCGCCTGGACGTCCCTGTGTGGCTGCCCGTCCACAAGCCCCCCACTGGGGCCGGGACCCTGGCTGGCCCTCCCGCCCATTCAGGCCTACACTGCCACTGTGGCAGGAACATCTAGGCTCAGGGTGGGGACCTGCAGTGCCCCCCATCCAGCCCTGCGTAGCAGCCTTGTGCCCTCCAGTGTCCACCTCCCAGGAAAGTAGGGGGCTGGCAAGGCAGAACATCTGGTGCCTCAGAGAGCTCTGGGCTCACACCTAGGAGGGCAGGTCTGTTCTGTTACCTATAAAATGGCACCGCGCTGAACTCCCAGCTCTGTGGGCACTGGTCACAGGAATAAGGGGGCCTTTTCCACGAGGGGGGTCTTAGGCCCCACAGGCTGGGGGTGTGAGGAGGGAAGGCTTTGACGACCTCCTTAAAGAGCATCTGGGCACCTGCTCACGGGAAAGTCCGAGCCGCTCCTTTTCCCACAGATGTGACTGCTGCAGAGCTGGGGCCTTACTGACTGCTGCTTGGGCAGCGAGGCTGCTTTGCCGGGCATGGTGAGGACCCCAGGATGCCAGACAGCAGCCCTGCACACCCCGAAGCCTGTGGGGGCAGCCTTGCTGGACCAGCCTGCAGGGGAGCGAGCCTGTCCCTGACCTGCACTTCCACCCGCTGACTCACCCTCCGGGTCGGACTGCAGTCTCGAGGACCTAGGCTGCAGACCGCTCTCCAGGGGACTGCAAGGCTAACCGGTGCGCCAGCGCGCTGCTTGTCCAAACGATTCCATCCCCGGGTTAAGTTTCAGTTGTGTACCGTCATGCGTTGTAATACCGCAGTGTGCCATGACACCGCGGTATTGCGTATTCCAGGGCCCAGAGGGAGCACATTCCCTTTAGAGAGGAAAATACATAACCAGGTGATCCCCCAATACCCTCCCGGAGCGGGCAAAGGAGGGTAAATTCATTGAGAAAACAAGAATCCATAGAGGCCTCAGTGGCCACGGCAAGGAAGGCATTCCAGGTAGACCCCAACGGTGTGATTTATTCGTTGCAAATACAAAAATGTAGTGCAGGTAGTTTTCTAAACGACTGAAGGCACAACCACATGTAATTTAACTGCCCTTCCTTTGTGAGCTTGTTTTTGCCCAAATATAAATCGGGGAAATGTAAGGGCATGTCTCAGCTCAGGCAAGCTGATGCGTGGTTGGGGTAGCAGGACTGGGAGCCCGGCGGTTCGGGGCCGCCCGCGCCCAGAGAGGTCTGGGCGCCGCCCTCGTCTCCACGCAGCTCAGTGCGCTCCTGGAGCGGCACCAAGGCGACAGGCGCGGAGCCAGTCCGTCTCCACAACAAGCGCGCGGACCGGGAAGGCGCCGCCCTGCCCTCCGTGCACCGCGGTCCCCCGCCTGGATCCGGCGCAGCGGCCCACGTGCTCCCTCCCCTGACTGCCAAGGAGGGAGCCCCGCGAGGCCAAGGCCGCCCGTCCGTCCAGGCGCCGCGCCCCTCCTCTGTTCCGAGACCCCGGTTCGCGGCGGACGCCCTCGGGAAGGCGCACGGTGCTAACAGGCCCGAGCGTCCGGCCCGCCTTCACCCGGGCTGCGACCCCTTCCTTCCACGGCGGGACCTCCCGCCCCCGCCGCCCCCGCCGCCCCCGCCGCCCCCGCGGCCGGCCGGAGCCTGCGCCCACAGCCCGCGCGTCACCTCGGCACTGCGGCGGTTACCTGGACGCTGGTCTGCTCAGCCAATAGCGCCAGCCCATCGGCGTGATCTCCGGAGCCAGCCAATGAAAGGACAAATCAATCATTTGAAACACCCAATGGATAGAGCACCGCGCACGAAGTGGGGCATTTTTGATAGGGAGAGCCGAGGCCTCGGCTGACCAATAGAAAGAGAATGGCACTGGGAAGGCGGGCGTTAGGCAGCTTGACTGACGGAGCCAAAGCCAATCAAACGAGGCAGTTTGTCAGCCTCGTTCCGGCGGCCCAATAGGAGGCTGCAGGAGGCGGGCGCGGCGGCTATATAAGTGCGGGAAGAGCGTCGGTTGTAGCACACTGCGCATCCGCTTATAAGCTGTTGTACTCGTCCATCAGTAACAGCCGCTGCCGCCGCCATGAGGGAGATCGTGCACCTGCAGGCTGGCCAGTGCGGCAACCAGATCGGCGCCAAGGTGGGCAGCGGGACACCAGGGCCTGGCAAGGGCTTGCGAGCAGACGGGCAGCGGGAAAGATGGCGGCGGCGGGCGGGCAGCGCCCCGCATTGCGGCCGCGCGAGGCGGGGGAGCGGCGGGCTGCCCCCGGGGACCGGCAGCGGTGGGGGAGGGGAGGGGAGGGGAGGGGAGGCCCGCCCGTCCGGGGCGGAGCCGGCCCCGGCCAGGCGTGACTCAGCCGGTCGCGGCCGCCCGCTTCTCTCGCAGTTCTGGGAGGTGATCAGCGACGAGCATGGCATCGACCCTACTGGGACTTACCACGGCGACAGCGACCTGCAGCTGGAGCGGATCAATGTGTACTACAACGAGGCCACCGGTGAGCCCCCCGCCCCTCCCCAGTCTGCTGCCGCGACGCGGCCCCTGGCTGACGCCTTCCGCCCCCGCAGGTGGCAAGTACGTGCCCCGCGCCGTGCTCGTGGACCTGGAGCCCGGCACCATGGACTCCGTGCGCTCGGGACCCTTCGGGCAGATCTTTAGGCCGGACAACTTCGTCTTCGGTGAGCTGCGCGCGGGTGGGGGCTCGGTGGCGGCCTGGTAGCGAGGACGGCTCAAAGGTCAAGGGGTGCCCAAGGTCACCACCGGCAGCACCGCAGAGCCGAGGTGTTAGTTCGCTCTGTCTCCCGAGCGCAAGCCAGGGCCCCTGGGCACCCTCCTCCCTTTCAGCCACTCAATCCCCTCCCCTAAAGCGGCTTTGGAGGCCCAGCTGTCCGCTGCAGGAAAGGAGCCTGCACATGTAATCTCCCTGCAGGGAACGACGAGTTGGAGGTAGTGGTGGTTGTCTGTCCTTGGGAATTGGCAGGGGCCGCCTGTGGGAGGGGCTGGCCCATCGGTAAGCCATCTCAGCCTGATTCCTAATTTGGTTTTTAACCGGGCAGGTTGCTGCTTTTATCAGTTCAGGGGTCCACTACTTGGTGTATATGGAGCATAAGCTCTCCGCGTCACCACGTGGCGTGTTATTTGGCATTTTTGGCCCAGGTGACCAGGGGTGACCGCATGCCTGGCCAGAGAGTGACTGGCTGTTCCCTTTTGCAGGTCAGAGTGGTGCTGGGAACAACTGGGCCAAGGGGCACTACACGGAAGGTGCGGAGCTGGTTGACTCAGTGCTGGATGTAGTCCGAAAGGAGGCGGAGAGCTGTGACTGCCTGCAGGGCTTCCAGCTGACCCACTCCCTGGGGGGAGGGACTGGGTCCGGGATGGGCACCCTCCTCATCAGCAAGATCCGGGAGGAGTACCCCGACAGGATCATGAATACGTTCAGCGTGGTGCCCTCGCCCAAGGTGTCGGACACGGTGGTGGAGCCCTACAATGCCACCCTCTCGGTCCACCAGCTGGTGGAAAATACAGACGAGACCTACTGCATTGATAACGAGGCGCTCTACGACATCTGCTTCCGCACCCTCAAGCTGACCACGCCCACGTACGGCGACCTGAACCACCTGGTGTCAGCCACCATGAGTGGGGTCACTACCTGCCTGCGCTTCCCCGGCCAGCTCAATGCTGACCTGCGCAAACTGGCTGTCAACATGGTCCCCTTCCCCCGCCTGCACTTCTTCATGCCGGGCTTCGCCCCACTGACCAGCCGGGGCAGTCAGCAGTACCGCGCCCTGACAGTGCCCGAGCTCACCCAGCAGATGTTTGATGCCAAGAACATGATGGCTGCCTGTGACCCCCGCCATGGCCGCTACCTGACCGTAGCTGCTGTGTTCAGGGGCCGCATGTCCATGAAGGAGGTGGATGAGCAGATGCTTAACGTCCAAAACAAGAACAGCAGCTATTTTGTTGAGTGGATCCCCAACAACGTGAAGACGGCTGTCTGTGACATCCCACCCCGGGGGCTGAAGATGTCCGCCACCTTCATTGGCAACAGCACAGCCATCCAAGAGCTGTTCAAGCGCATCTCGGAGCAGTTCACGGCCATGTTCCGGCGCAAGGCCTTCCTGCACTGGTACACGGGTGAGGGCATGGACGAGATGGAGTTCACCGAGGCCGAGAGCAACATGAACGACCTGGTGTCCGAGTACCAGCAGTACCAGGATGCCACGGCCGAGGAGGAGGGCGAGTTTGAGGAGGAGGCTGAGGAGGAGGTGGCCTAGGCTGTCTTGTACCCGGTAAAGTGTGGAAGCCATGTGAACTCTTTATTCACTCACACCCTGTTTTCATGTCTGTGCACTTGCCCTTCTTCCTGTCTTGGCATCACATGCTGTACAGACAACATCATTAAAGCATTTTCATAGTGCATGCTTTCGCCTCTCCAGTTCCTTCCGACAGGCCTTGCGGGTACTGTTACCGAATGTCAGCCCATAGTTGTCCTGCATGGCTGCAAGGGGCAGCACTACTGCTGAGCTCCTGGGCTTGTCCCGGGCCCAGGACGCGCGCACTGTCAGAGGGGATCAGCCTGGCTGCCGAACACACAGGCTTCTGAGGAGCTTGGGGGGCTACCTTGGGCACTTTCCTCCTGAGGGTAGGTCTGTCCTGTCCACACTAAACCTCCAGAGAGCCAGCGTGGTCTGGAGGTAGTTCTGTGCCACTTGAAGTGCAGGGGGTTGAGTCCCTTGGGGGACACTGGAGAATGATGGGGTGTTGGGCAATCCTACCTCAAGCGGACCCTGGGGACATAAGCTGGGGGTCACAGCTGGCCTTGTGCCAGTGGTCCCGTGGGTAGGAACCCTGCGGCCTGAGCCCTCCCCCAGTGGCCTGGCCACTGAGCTGTCTGAGAGGCAGGCAAGGAGCCCACTGTACTCACATGGTATGAACCCCATGTAGAAGGGTATCAGGCCCCTGCTGCTGTAGATGGTGGTGCTGGGCCAGTGTGTGTGGGGCAGCCTTGACTCCAGGGCACAGGTGGGGTTTCTGAACAGGAACTAGAGGAAAAGAACAGGTGTTGACATGTGCTGCCTTCCCCACCTGGCAGCCAGGGAGCAAAATGTTCCTGCTGGTGAGGTGGGGTAGAGGGGGTTGGGCCTTCTGGGAAGTGGCTGATCTCAGAGGTCTTTTCTGTCTCCCCGTCTCCCAATGCTCCAGAGCAGGATGCCAAGACCAGGTGAGGACTGGCAGGGGGAGCAGCCTCCTCAGGCCAGGCAGAGCCCCATCCCCAGGGCTCTAAGGCAGGTCCACCTCCACAGCCCCCTCCAGGGAAGCTGCTGAGCCCTGGCCCTGGCCACTGGGGTTTGGAGACTGCTGTGTGGGGCCTGTAGGCTGTGCTGGACACTGGAGCAGCCTGGGCACGGGGTCCTCATCCTCATACCTGGTGCCTGTCGAACTCGTCCATAGCCTGTGTGACGCTGTCGTGGTAATTCATCCCCATCACCCAGGCAAACCGGGGGATGAAGCCGGTGTAGCCTGGGGAAGACAATGTCAGGGTCCTGTCCCAGGTGCCCTCCCCCTTCCCCTGGGCTCACCCACTTGGCCCTAGGCAGGTCAGGGAAGTCGGCTGGGCCGCTTTCCTTCCCTAGACATTGACGACTGTCTGCTGTGGCCTGTGGACTGACTGAGGAACCAGGAGTTTCCAGCCTTGCTAGAAGCTGGGCTCCAAAATGCAGTTTTGGGGCAGGGCAGGGTCCACAGGCAGCCCTCATCCTGCCTGGGCCCCTGGAGCCTTGTTGGGCAAGTGTCCCTCAGCCCAGGCCCCAGGTTCCCACCTGAGATGGCCTTGCGTTGGATCAGGTTGGGGTGGTCCAGCTGGGGCAGCCTGTGGAACTTGCCCACGTCTAGGGTCTCATGCTGGTGTGCTGGGGGTGGGTACTCATCCCTCCTGCAGTGGCACAGCTGAGATGGGGAGGAGCCAAGTTACCACCCCAGCCCCCCCTGCTCCCCATCCCCAGGTCTGGCTTGGGTGAGACTGTGTCCCAGTGCATCTTCCAATTACCTGGTCCTGCCCTGGGGCCTTGAGGATGGGGGTGGTACTCTTCCATCCCTCCTCCCTGTAGGCCAGCCACTGGCCCGGGTGTCCAAGATCTTTGGAGTCCCCCTTCCTGCCTGGCGGGCATGGGAGGTAGGGGTGGTAGGGCAGTGAGCCTGCAGGCAACAGGACCTGCCTGGGTATGTTCTCCAGCCCCGACGGCCCCTGGGCGTCCACCTCCTGGGGTGGGGACCGGCCTAAGATCTCAAAGTTCTTGTGGGGCTTCAAACCTGTATGGACAGGGCAGGCGTGAGTGACAGCAGGCAGGAGGGTGGGTCTGGGATGCACAGGGCTTGTGGGCAGGCAGCTCACCAGTGTAGTGGGGGACGTCGGGCTCAGACAGGTCACGGCAGGGGATGAAAGGCGTCTTGGGTTTGCTGAAGTCCTCAAACCTGGGTTTGGCTATGGGGGACAGCACAGAGCAGGGGCTGTTCGGCACACTGGGGTCTGTGAGCAGCCGCGCTGTGGTGCGCCCATAGGTGTTCCCCACCTGGTAGCGCATCTGTGGATAGAAGCCGGCATAGCTGCAGAGGGGAGAGCGGGAGAAACAGCGAGCAGGGTGTGGGTCCAGCCTGCAGCCACTGGCAGGTCACCTGACCTCACCTACAGACTGGGAGGTCCCAGCAGCACCTGCCTTCTGGGGATCTTGAGTCTTGAATGGGCAGCACATACCAAGCACCGAGAACAGGTCTGGCCCACCACCATTGGACTGCCACCCTGCCGGCACTTGGCCACCCAACAAGGGCTTAGAGAGGAGAGGAAGCTTTTCCAGGGATGGGGACGGGGTCTGGGCTGGGCCAAGGCTCAGGGAAGCCCACTGGTCTGGAAGGCACTGTGGGGATTTGGCCTCTTTTTGCCACCCAGGAGGCCAGCCTCCAGCTGTATGGAACCGGGATTGTGGAGACAGTTTGGAGGGCTGCTGGTCGGAGATGACGGTTGAGCTGAGTGTCATTTAAAACTATCGCATGGGAAAATGGGACAGGCGTCACGGTGCCGGCCCCAAGTGGGGGTGCTCTGGTGGTTCAGTGCCGCCTGGGGGGCCTGTGTGACCTCCCAATAAGGCTGAGGTGTGAGAGCAAGAGCCTTCTGCAGCGTCTGTCACCAGTCCCACCTTTCCTAGACCATCATGGAAAGTCAGATCTGGCTTCTTCCCACACATGGATGTGTGTGTATGAAGGTGTGCACACCCACTCCGTGGAAGGCTCAGTTCTACTGTCTACAGGGAGCAGGGAACCTAGTAAGGCACCTGGCCCTCCAGCAGTCAGTTAGCTCTGGGCGCCCATGTCGTCTTCAGAGCGTCAAGCCCTCTGGAGCGTCCGGGGCTCATGCAGCCAGCCTCTGCCAGCTGCGGGGCTGTCCCCGGTCCTGCTTGCAGGGCAGAGTTGGCAGGGAGGGCAGGCCTGGGCCCTCAGCAGCCCTGCCCAAGCCCCTCCAGCCTCGGCTTTGGAGCTCCCCACACAGCGGGGCTTACGCGCTCAGGCCCCAGCCCTGCTCCCCCAGCCTCCCTCCAGGGCTCCAGCACTTACCCGGGGATATAGTGAGGTTCTGGCGTGAAGAGGTTGTGTTTCTGACTAGCTGTCATCTTGCCTCAATTCTGCTTTTGCTGGTTCCAGCCCCTTTGCAAGTCCCTGTTGCCTGGCAACGATTGTGAAGAGGCCCAGCCCTGTTGGACCCCGCCTGGGTTCAGCCCCTTCCTTAATGCTTCCATTTTACAGGTGGGACACTGAGGCCCATTCAGGTGACAGGCTGGGGAGGTGTCACACTGAGGACCTCAGAGCTCAGAAAGATGGGACTGACTGTCGGTGCAGCAGAGTTGGCCCTGCTGGGAAGTGGGGGTGGGATTAGGCCTGGATTCTTGCCACCCCAGGAGGCCAGCAGCCAACTGAAAAGCAGTTCCCCCCAATCCCAACTCCTCTCCTCAGGTGAGAGGCCCTGGGAACTTTGGAGGTAGCATCTCAAGCCTCAACAGTGAGGATTCTGACTCTGCCCTCAAGGGTCTTTTCCCCACAGCTGGGCACTATTTTCCATTTTAAATGACTCTTTTTCATGTGTGTGTGTGTAGGAAGCACTTTCTAAGCACAAAAACCAATAAAAATATTAAGGAAAAGATTAGCAGGTTCAAGTACATGTCAAAAAATAGCATAAACATTACTAAAAGGCAGATTACAAGCTTGAAAAAGGTGGCAACAAGGATTATGAACAGATATGATGTCAGTATAAAAGCCTTACAAATTGAGAATATGACAGATTATCACCCCAATAGAAAAATGCAGCTATGTGAACACCTTAAGAAAAAAACAACCCACAGCCAATAAACACATGGAGAGAGGGTTGAACCTTAAACGCTGACGATGAGTTTCAGATGCTCACTGCTGGCAGGGTTGTGGTGAGAGTAAGTTCCACTTCGGGGGACGCTGTCTGGAAAGCAGTTTGGGGATACAGATGGAGTCCATACAAGACATTGCATACTTTGACCCATTGCTCCCATTGGTAGGAGTCTATCCCGAGGAAATGACCGACATTCCGCTGAAGGCGTATGCATGATGTCACCTACCAGGGCAGTGTTTGTTGTGGGGAGAAATCAGAGCTGACCCGAACGACCAATGACAGGGGCCTTGTTACAAAGCTGTATCTGCAGCCCTGTCGCTTGTGCCCTCAGAGAACATTGTGCAACACAAGAGGTGCCCCAAGCACAGAAAGGGCTGTGAGCCCCTCATCCTGTTGGAATGTGTCCCACGTAGGATGCCCCTGAGACCAGGTAATGCTGGATGGGAGAGATAAGGAGAGGAAGAGACTGCCTCAGGGTTGGGGGGGCTCCCCTGGGCTGAGTCCTTGACTTAGGCCTGCTCGGCGGACTACTTGAGGCCAGGGCTGGGGCTGGTAGGCTGGTCAGCTCCACAGGGCACTGCAAGGACCCTGGTGCCTAGGTGGGCTCTTGCTCACTCAGGCCCATTGCCCCTTTGCATTTTGGCCTGGGCAGCCTTATCTATGACACCTTCTGGCCTCCGTGTCCCCAAGCAGAGGACAGCCCCCACACCTCAGCCCTACCTGCACCGCCAGGTGGCTCCAGGGTCAGGCTGCCTCAAGTCAGCACAATCCACTCAGACCCATCAGCTGTTGCTTGGCTTTTCCAAGGGTTGGGTTTTGCGGGTGGAGGGATTCCTCCTCCTCCAGGGAGCCTCCTTGGACCACTTCTGGCTGGCCCTGCACAGCTGGGCCAGCCAGAAGACCCGCTTCCTTTTCTACCTCCCAGAAGCCCCGTTAGAGTAGCCTCTGACCCTCCAGGGGACCCCAAAGTCCAGGAAAGGGGAAGGGTTGGGACAGGGAAGGGGAAAGGGAGCCAAGGAGGGCAGGTTAGAGGTCCTTCTGGCCAGGCTGTCCTACCTGGCAGCTCAGGGGAGGGGCCTCTCTGGGGGTCCCACTGCAGCAGTCCCTTTAGGGCTGGACAATGCTCCTTCCCCAGGGAGTCCCTGGCAACCAGAGTGGGGGCACCAGTGAGGTCACAGAACCCCAAGGTGCCCCTGGGGAAGGCAGCCAGAGACTCTGACAATGAATTTTGACCAGAAGGCTGTGAAATTCCTGGCAAATTTTTACATCAATGGAGGCAAACACTGGACCCATGGCCCCTTGAGGCAGAAGCTGCTCGTGCCCACCCGGTAACTTCCCAGGGTGGTGGGTGGCTGGGAGCCGGCCAGGGCGGGTGGCCTGGGCCCCTGGGCTGGGTGGCAGGCAGCTGTCATCTCCCCTGCAGGCCCAAGGCTGCTGTGAGGTTGTCGGGCCTGGAGCCAGGGGCTGCCTGTGAGCAGATGCGGCCCCAAGAGGCGCAAGAGTTTCCAGCTAGCATCAGGATGCACACGCATCCCCTCCAGGAGCCCCCACCTCCCTGCACCCGGAATCTGAGAGAGCTGCGTGAGTGGGGGTCCCGGCTGCCCCCGCCCCAGTCTGGTCTGGGGAGGCGGGGCACGGTCAGGGAGGGGCCTGCCAAGGAGCCAGAGTTTGTTCCCTGCCAGTGCTGGAGCTGCGGCCCCCCGTCGTGACCGACCTGGATATCCCCGGGCCCACCACGTACCGGGTGCCCGACGCTTCCGTGCGCGAGTCCTCCCCACACCCGCACTTCAGCTTCGGCCGCAAGCCCCCCGCCCGCGGTGTGTGCGCCCCCTCGCCCGCGCCCGCCCCCTGGGCTGCGCCCCGGCACTGGCCCTGTCTCCCAACCACGCTGCCCCCTGCAGAGGGCGGCGGCCGCAGGGCGTGGCGGACCGTGTGGTCCCAGAGGGAGAGCCCCGTCTCGCAGAAAGCCGACTTCAAAAGGGAGCCAGAGGTGGGGGGCTCGGACCGCACGCGCGGCGGGAGGGGCGGGGGCGGGGCCTGCGGGCGGCGGGCGGTCCTGCAGCAGCCCCTTCTCCGCAGCGGCCCTCGCCCGCAGACCACCGGCCGCTCAGCCTCGGGGCCGGCCGCCCCGCCTCCAGGACACGTGGGGCCCGCGCCCGCCTGGGGCAGCTGCGGGTCGGGGGTGCCGTTCACCAGGTCCAGCCCCACCTTCAGGCCCTTCCGCAGACCCCGGGGGCCGAGAAGCGCCCCAGCCCCAACACCTACGACATCCTTCCCGGGTGCTGCCTGCAGAGGTCGCGCCCGCCCGCTTTCTCCCTGAGCCGCTCGCCCGCTTTCGACTCCTGGGTCAGCTACTGTAAGGAGGCCACGGAGACAGGCCAGTCCGGGGCAGGGTGGGATTGCGGCTTGAGGCAGCTGGGGGGCCAGGCAGCGGCTGGCGCTGTAGCCTTGGCGGCCCCCCGACCTGTCTCTCTGCAGCCCTCACCCCTGGCCCAGCCACCTACCACGTGGAGGACTGCTACAACTCGCGCTTCCCCTCAGCACCCGGAGTGGTCATCCAGGGTGTGCGAAGACCCAAGCGCCACGACACGGGCCCCTTCAGCATGCTTTAGCACCCACTGGACGCAGCCGGCCAGCCGTTATGGCAAGGAACCCTCCCTGTCCCTCTGGGGCATTCCCAGGCCCCCCGCCTGGCCTCCTGACCTTCTGAATGGGCCAATCCACCACCCACCCTTCCGGCTGGCCAATCCTTCTGTGCTCTGTGGACGAGGAGGGCCCAGCTGCAAGCCCCCTTCTGCCCGCCACATTGCAACACAGAGATGCTGTTGGTTCCTCTAAGTCTGTGTCTCCTTGGCCACCACCCTGGCCCAGTGGGTCGTCCTGCGGATGTGGTCTGGGGCTGGCCTGTCATATCTGGCTTCCCCAGGCTAGGGGTCTCCCGTCTTCTTCCCTTAAGTGCTCTCTTCTGTAGGCTGGGTATGATGGCAGCCTGGGACCTGTGGGCAATGAAGGACACCCCACCTAGCCATGCCACCCAGGGGGATAGGTCAGCTGCCAGTCTGCCTGAGAATCAGGAACTGAGGTGTTGGGACAGAGGTGGGGGTCAGACTCCCTGAGGGGCCATCACCTTAGGTGTGACCAGCCTGCCCAGCTACCAGAGAAGGCCCAGAAGACCAGCTGATCAGGGACTGGCCCCATTTCCTCCAGCCCCTGCCCAAAGACCTTGAAAGCATGCCCAGGGCTGTGCAGACCAAGCCCCACCCAGGACTCCCTGAGTCTACTTGTTAGGGCCCTGCTCCTGCTCAGAGCAAAAGCCTGGCCATTGCTGGTCACTACAAACCAGCCTTCCAGTTGAGGGGTGGGCCCGAGACTGTCTCCCTTGCAGGGGCCTCACCTGCAGCTTGTGGTGGCTCCTGTCACAGCACCAATTCCTTCCTGGGTCTCCCTTGTGCCACCCAAGCCCTGGACCAGTGCCCGTCCTGTGTCTCCTCAGCCAGATCTCTGCCCCTTTAAAGGGCAGTGCAGCAGCCCTGCTGTGGTGTCTGCCTGTGGGTAAAATTGTAACATTTCCAGAGTATCTCGCCTGGTTTTAGTGCATCTGCATATCCTCAGGGGTGGAGAGAAGTTCATCTCCATGTCAATGGGTGATTGCCTGGGCAACCAAGGGCTTAGCTGTACCTGAGAGGTGAGGGGAAGTGTTGATTTTGCTTCTGCCGGGCTCAGGAAAGAGAGACGGCCCCGGACTGCAGTTTGTAAGCAATAAATGTATTTTAAACTTTATTTCTCCTTTTGACTGATTTTGGTTTCAGAGGTATTCTGCCCCGGAATTTCCTCTCCCCGGACTTACACTGCCTCACTCACCTCTGGCAGGGAGGCTCAGGCCCAGAGAGGGTCTGCATGCTGTGTACCTGTGACCTCTTCTAGGGCTGAACTGTCTGGGAACTGATCCTCGGTGGCCCTGGAAATCAGAGCAGTGGGACTGCAGACGGTCATCACTGGACTCTGGGTTGACTAGCTTGGCCAGCATGCAACAGAGAGCTGTGGGAGCCCGGCCTTTCGGAACCAGGCCCACGGTGAGGGTGCTAGAACCTCTGCTCAGAGCTGCACCATTAGCAAACTCCCAGGGGTCAGAGGAGTGAGACCAGCTGGGCTAAGGAGGGAAGGCTACCTGTAGGAGGTGGTAGAGGGCCGGGCTTTCAAGGATGAGCAAGAATTTGCCGGGCAGCAAAGATAATTTCTAGCAGACCTTAAAGCCAAGGCACTTGAAAAGGGAGTGTCTGATGTTTGGAATGGCCAAGCTTGGGAGGACATAGGGCTGGTGGGATGGAAGGAGGGGAGCTGAAGGGGTGGAGGGGCTGCAGAGGGCTGAATGCTGAATGCAGGGGTGTACACATGTAACAAGGGGAGCCTACCGGCCCAATATGAGCTGCTCGCGCCAGAAGGGACAGGGAACATCCTAGAACCTGGGACCTGTGTTCACAATGAGGCAGGCTGTAAGTCAGCAGGAGGGCCTATCACCTTGGGTTAGCCTGGGGGCTGGGTGCTCAGTGACCAGAGGACAGCCACTCTGTCTCATTCCCACTGTGCGTCCAGGTCTCTGCTAGGCACCCCCGTAGCCACCCCCACATGGAGGCACACTGAGACTTTAGTCTTCACAACGACCCATGGTCCCTGTTTGGCAAGGAGGAAGCCAGGTTCCAGAGAGAGAAGGCCATGCACCTGGTGGGACCTAGGTGGAGGGAGCTTCTTGGTGCTGGTGCTCCACTTACTCAAACAAAAATTTTCTCGATGTCAAGAGGCTGCTGTGAAATCAGCAACGGGATTTTTCATGATCATGAAAATAAAACGTACTTAGCTAAAATCTCCGTTCTGACACTCAGAGGAGGCCGACCCCAACAGCCGCAGCCCCCCCCGTGCCCCACCCCTGCCCGCTGCCCCCGCAGCCACCCCGCGGGGGATCGGGCTCTGTGCTCCCAGAGGAGGGCGGGGCCTCGCCGGCCGTGAGCGTCACCCCGGCACCGCCCTCGCCCCGGCCGCGAGCCCGGCGCCGCTCCCAGAAACCTCTGCGCGGCGGTAGCGGCGTTTCCGGGGGCCCGGCCGGAGGGCGGGCCGGGCTCTGCGGGGCGGAAGTGGGCGGCTGCGGTTCGAGCAGAGCCGTGCTGCTGGCGGGACCTGGCCGAGCTGGAGGGCGTCGGGGAGCGGGGCTCGGGCGGCCCCCGGGGCCCGGGCGAACGGGCTGCCGGGGCGCCTTCGGCGGTCTCGGCGGCGCCAGGGGAGCGCGGGGGGGATGGGGCGCCGGGCCGGGCGGGCGCTGGGGCCTCGGCCCTGTTCGCGGGGCTGCAGGACCTGGGCGTGGCCAACGGCGAGGACCTGAAGGAGACGCTCACCAACTGCACGGAGCCTCTGAAGGCCATCGAGCAGTTCCAGGTGGGCCCCGGAGGAGGCCGCGCCGTCTGGGCGCCAGTCCGGCCGGGGGCGGGGTCGCCAGATGGAGGAACCGTGTGTCCCCAGCCAGTACCCTGTTGACCGACATCTGGGGTCTCCAACTTTTGCGATTACGACCGGCGCTGCCGGGTCCATGGCTGCACCTACTTGCTGAGCTTGGGGGGTCCGGGGTCTGGCCAGACGTGGCTGGGGCTGAGGTTCTGTTGTCGCGCCCCCCGCACCCCAAAGTGATCACAAGTCGACCGCAGGCTGACCCTCTGCTGCTTCAGACAGAGAACGGAGTGCTGCTGCCCTCCCTGCAGTCGGCCCTGCCCTTCTTGGACCTGCACGGGACGCCCCGTCTGGAGTTCCACCAGTCGGTGTTCGATGAGCTTCGGGACAAGCTTCTGGAGCGGGTGTCAGCCATTGCCTCGGAGGGGAAGGCCGAGGAGAGGTGGGTGGGCAGGTGAGGTGTCCAACCCGCCTTGGGACCGGCCACATCGCCTACTGTGACTCTGGCTACACATGCTCTCTCCAGAAGGGGGCCTCTGCCCCGTGTGTCCCACCCGTGGAGACTGGACCCCTTAGATGTCTGGGGACAGACCTTCCGACTGAGTCCTGTGCAGCTCCCTCAGCCTGCGAGTTTTTCCAGGTCCAAGAAGCTGGAAGACCTTCTGGAGAAGAGCTTTTCTCTGGTGAAGATGCCATCTCTGCAGCCAGTGGTGATGTGTGTCATGAAACACTTGCCCAAGGTAAAAGCCGTGGGGGTCGGCATGCCCAGGGCACCCACTGCGCAGCATCCTGGCTTGGGGAAGTGGTCCAGATGTCAGCTTAGCTGCAGGGAGTTTTCTGAGCTGCATGCCCGAGGCAGGGACAGTGGCAAAGCACATCCTCTGCACTGGCTTCTCCCTGACGAGCCACGTAGTGACCAAAAGCTTGGCATGAGAGTCGGGGTGCAGGGCCCTTTCTGGGAAGAGTGGTTTATTTTCAGTACTGCTGCCTCTGTCTGCAGACACAGGTGCCTCCGTTCCTTGGGGCTGGGCTTGAGGCAGTTTCTGCCGTCGTTGGAGGGTGGGGTGGCGGGGTGGCGGGGAGAGGCCTTGTCAGACAGCCTGTGGGGTCGTGTAGGTTCCTGAGAAGAAGCTGAAGCTGGTGATGGCCGACAAGGAGCTGTACCGGGCCTGTGCTGTGGAGGTGAAACGGCAGATCTGGCAGGACAACCAGGCACTCTTCGGCGACGAGGTCTCCCCGCTGCTGAAGCAGTATATTCTGGAGAAGGAGAGCACGCTCTTCAGCTCGGAGCTCTCCGTCCTGCACAATTTCTTTAGTCCTTCCCCCAAGACAAGGCGCCAGGGTGAGGTGAGATGGGGCAGGATGGGTGCAGGGCTGGGTGGCTCTGAGGGGCCCACTCTGACCAGCCCCTCTGCCACTCCGTGAATGTTTGGGTTCTGCTTCCGGACGTGTGGACTTGTCCGTGTGGCTGGCAATGGGGGCTGGCAGTGTGGTGTCTGGGTGCGGGTCCTTGGCTCTACAGACTTGGTGTCTTTCGGTCAAGCTCACCTTGTTTTCAGCTCAGAAATTTTTTCCGATTTTATGTTTGACTCATGCGCTGCTTTGACATTGACAAACGTTTCTTGAGCGCCAACTCCTCACCACAGGTGCCTGGACCCTTGAGTGACTGACCCCGGAGGTCAGGGCACTCGCGGTCTTTTGGGGGACAGGACTCTATTCAGTAAAAGTCTTGTGTCGGTTGCCAAGAGCTCGAGGGGCAGGTAGGGCTGCGGAGACAAGAGGTCCCAGAGCAAGACGAGGCAGGGCTGGAGTCCGGGAGCAGGAAGAAGAGCAGGGGGCTGCGGGCGGAGGCTCTGGAGGGGAGCAGGCCAGGTGTCTGGCCGTCCAGGGAGACGAGGAGGCCGGGTGGCTGGAGCTGAGAGCACGTGGGCAAGTGGGGTGGGGGTGAGGTCAGGAAGGCCGGGGGCCACTGTGGGGACTTCAGCTTCTCTCAACGAGGTGGGGGTCACTGAAGCTGCCTGACCTAGCTCCTGGGTGACTGCTCTCTCCACAAGGAAGGTGGTGGTGACATGGGGCTGCTGGCCGAGTGGCATTTGGTGTCCTGTTGCATTTTGTCATGTTCAGCTGCCCATCTTGGGGTTCCGTGTGTTTGGCAGGCAGTAGGACCCGACCGGATATTCTTCCCAAGTCTGGTCCATGGTTGCAGCGCTGCTTCCTGGGTGGGCCTCGGAGCAAGTCCCCGGGCCGCGCTCTCTGTGCCTTCCTGCTCGTCTCACGGGAAGCCTGGCCGGTGGTCCCTTCCTTCCTTGTGCTTCCCTCCAAGCCAGTGATCCCCCTTGGGACCCAGGGCCTTCCTGCTCAGGTGTGGCCTGACCGCTGCAAGGGGAGAAGATCTTGGCAGGGGACAGCATCCTCCCGTGGTCTTTGGGCGGGGGTCAGCCGGTAGGGCCGTGGCTCTGTGACCAGTGTCCTGAGCTTTCCGTCCTGCCTCATTCGTGAGTGAGGCAGGCCCTGGGCCGTGGTCAGGGCTGGCATGTGTCAGTGTTGTGGTGTTGAGACGTGAGATGCAGGTTGTGGCCAGGCCTGCTCTGCTGCTGGAGCCCCAAGGCCTGTGGAGAGTCCTTGGCAGGGCCCTCCCTCCAGGTGGCCTTTGGGCCCAGTCTGGGATCCTGCTCTTCTGTTTCCTTGCTGCATCCAGCCTGGGGCCTTGGGGCTGCTACGGTGTCTGTTGCCCCTGCCTACGTGTGCGTCTTTCCTGCCGTTAGACGCAAGCCCAGCTACCGTCAGGGCCAGTGAGGAGCCAGCGGCCGGGGCAGGAGCCTCTCAAGGGTAGACAGGGAGCAGGTGTGGGCGGGCCTGCGGGTGCCAGAGGAGGGGTGCTCTGGGGAAGACACAGCCAGGCAGCCCAGCTGGGCCTGAGCCAGTGGCAGTGAGGCCTTGACCCAAACTGAGGATGGTTTGCGGGGTGGGGGGCCTGGCCTCCGGTGGCTCTGCGGAGTCTGGGGTCACAGGCCTGTGGCCTTTCAGAGAAGCCATGCGGCCTGACGTGGGGTTCACCCCCTCAGAGCCAGGGGCGCCCCCTATCGGAGCCCACGAGGGCTAGCCCCAGACTGGCAGAGGAGGGCATGGAGGCTGTTGGTGACAGTGTGGGCCCACCCGCCGCAGGTGGT